TCTTGCATGCAAGGCAAGCGCTCTACCACTGAGCCAACTTCCCAGCCCTCCATGAGACTCTTATCTCCAATGAACCACCAGAAAACTGGAAGTGGCGCTGTGGCTCAAGTGGTAGAGCACTAGCCTTGAGCTGAAGAGCTGAGGGACAGCGCCTAGGCTCAGAGTTCAAGCCCCATGACTGACCAAGAGAAACTGAGTTGTCCTGAGGGGACCATGGCATGATCCATAATCCAAACCCTGCCTGTATTTACTGCAGAAATTGCCAGCCAGCCCTCCCCTCATAGGCAGTACGTCCACCCCTGTGAGGGTGTGGGCCACACTGTCCACCTCAGCGTGTGGGTTCCTGTTGGCATTGGGGGTGCTGCTTCTTTTCTGCTGGTCCTGGGGTTTTAACTCAGGGCTTAGGCGCTGTCCCTTTTTTGCTCAAGATGAGTGCTCTACCACTTGAGCCACGGCGCTACGGTCGACTTCTGGGTGGTTTATTGGAGATGAGTATCACAAACTTTCCTGCCCAGCCTGGCTTCCAGCTGGGAACCTTAGATCTCAGCCTCTTGAGTAGCTAGGATTAGAGGTGTGAGCTGCCGGTCCCCAGACCCAGGGTGCCTCTTTTATGATCAGTATTCATGACCAACCAGGACACATCAAAGACACGGAGCCCACTGGAGCATGGAGGTCCAACACGGAGCTATAGTCTACAACCTAGGACAGGGCAGAAGGGGCCCAGCTGAACCTGACCCCCTCCTGGGTCCACCCCAGAACCCAGCAAGCTCAGCAGCACTTCAGGGCACTCAACTCAGCAGAAAGATGTGGCTGGCCCGTGAAGCACCAGGCGGGGTTGCCCATCGGTGTGGATGTGGCAGGTACCCACTGCTGCCCAGGAGATAAGGAGGGAAGCTCCACTGGGCTCCTGCCCCTGGGAAAGCAGAGGACTTGTACCACTTTTGATACCACTCTTCCCAGGAGACGCCCACCGTGGGGCTTCTGCCCAGCTGTCTAACTCAGGCAGACCATCAGCCATCCAGGCCCCAATACTCAGGGTCAGGGATGGAGTGCAGAGGTCACACTTCCAGAGGCCCTGGGGCCTCTAGCAGCCCTAGGGACCTCCACCCTCCTGGTCCATTTCCTCCTATGGGGATTTGGACTGGTCAGGCAGGGGTCACTGCCTGAGTCAGGCTGCTCCTGTTCCAGTGATGGTCCTCAATGAAGAAAACACCTTCTAGGCACTGGCTCGGCTACTGAGCTGTGAGGGGCACACTTGGCATGGTGAGCGCCCAGCTTCCCAGGGCCTCACACAGCTGAGTCAGGTTGCCACCCGTGCACTCAGAACCGTAGCCACAGCACCTTCTCTCTCAAACTTGTTCTGGGGCCCCACAGACCTAGGACTGTCCGAGGACCCCACACCCCGAGTCGGACATCTGATGCCCCCACCAGCAGAGCCCTCTGTGCGGGCTGTCTGGTGATGCTCGGCTTCCTGTTGGTCCTTCTGACTCATGAACAGTCGGAGCCTTCCTAACCAGCCATGGCCAGTGCCCCGATGCCAGCTTCTCACCCATGTCCCTGCAAGTGACCCAGAGCCCAGGAGATAACCACACGCTCCACCTTGTGCCCTCACCACTGCACGCCCCCGGTGGCTCTTCACGCTCTCCTATCACTAGGGTCCCTCCCCTCCCCTTCCTCCTCCCCTTCCGGAACCCTACACAGCTGGAAGCAAGTCCAGCCGGAACTTGTGGGCACCCCTTCCCCCCTCCCCCCGTGGGCCTCTGGCAGGAGGGGTTTCTGGCTCCTGGGACTCCGGCCGGTCCTCAAGGCACTGCACTCCATCTTTGGGAGCCGGCTGTCTGCTGAAGCTCCACAGGGCATGCCCAGCCGTCCTGCAGCCCCACGGCCATCCCGAGCAGAAGCTGAGGGAAAGCCCCCCAGATCTGAACACGGAAGCCAAGGGACTCCTCTCACCTCCTCCACGGCCCTGGGCCTGAGGGCGGTTAGAAGCTGAGGCCTTTCCTGGGGCCCTGCGTGCTGCAGAAGGCTCTAGAACAGGCAAGGCTTGGACTAGCACATGGAGCCCTAGGAGCCTCTGCCCTCTGTGCTTCCGCACCTGGGCAAGAATGGGCAGGAAGACCCCACGCCAGGGAGCCCAGCCCCAGAAGGATCCAGCTCACCTGTGACCCCTTCCTCCAGGAACCCTGTCCCCACCAAGTAAGTCCACCCCGCGACCCCTTCTTCCAGGAGCCGTGTCCATCAGCTGGCCCCAGGAGCAGCCCCTCAGCCTGTTGGGTACAGCCTCTGGGAGCCCCGCCCCTGGGTCCCACCCAGGCCTCTGCCCCAGCCTGGACGGGCAGGACCCGCAGCCTGCTGCCCCTGCAGGTCCCCTGCGGGCCGCCCTGTAGCGCGGGGACTGCCGTGTCCTGGAGCGTGAGCGTATGCACATGGCCACGGCACACTCGGGTGCAGAGAAGTCAGCCTGGGGACCCCAGGAACCTGCGGGGCAGACCAGGCCACGCCCAGGCGGTGCTCCACCGGATGCCCACGTGAGGTGGTCACCGAGGGGCCCGGCCAGTGTGGTGAGGTGGGCAAGGGACTGGCAATTGCTAGACACTGAACCCACTGCAAACAGATAAAAGCAGGAGTCAAGGCATTTCCTTGACCGAGCCTACCTCTGGCCATGGCCTCCTATGCAGTGACCCCTGGAGTGGACACAGGAGAAGGCAGGCAGCAATGCAGGGAGGGCGTGGGCGCTGGAGCGACCCAGCACACCAACCCACACCCAGCTCTGTACCCTGAGAGCCTCCTGAAGGTGCTCCGGGGTGGCTTGTGGGATTCTCTAAAGAACGCTAACTGGGGCTGGACTGGGAGGGTCACACACTGTTGAGTACCTTTAGCCTCCCTGGGTAAGCTCTAGCTAGAGGTCAGCTTCCAAAAGGGGTGTGCCCAGCCCCACGTCCATGGTTCCAACACTACCACTTCCAGCAGCACTGGGTCCTCCATCTGCCTGCCCACCCCAGGACTACAGCACAGGGCCTGCCAGGGAGACTCCATCCCAGGGATGGAGCCATGGACGGCTCCACATGGCAAGCCTTCTGTCTAACCCATGTGGCACACACTGACAACATGGCCCCAGGAAGCCAGGGCAGCACTCACAAGCTGAAGCCCCATCCCTGGGCACAGGGAAGCACAGCCCCAGACAGTACCTGGGGACAGCACCCAGGAGTCCCAAACCCGCGTGCACAGCCCCAGACGGTGCCCGGGAGCCCCAAGCCCACACGCATAGCCCCAGACGGTGCCTGCTGACCACAGCCCCAGACAGCACCTGGGGACAGCACCCAGGAGCCCCAAACCCACGTGCACAGCACCAGACGGTGCCTGGGAGCCCCAAACCCGCACGCACAGCCCCAGACAGCACCCGGGGACAGCACCCAAGAGCCCCAAACCCGCGTGCACAGCCCCAGACAGCACCCGGGGACAGCACCCAGGAGCCCCAAACCTGCGTGCACAGCTCCAGACGGTGCCCGGGAGCCCCATACCCATGCGCACAGGGAGGCTGGACATTTGCTAGTGCAGAGGAGGCTAAGTGGGGTGTCCACATGCCCAAGCACGCAGCAGGTGCCTATGGGACTGAGCACCCTCCCCCTACACAAGTCCCAGACTTCAACCCAAGAAGGAAGGCACCACGGTTACTATGGGACTCCAGCAGTCAAGGTGTGGACGAGAGCATGCATGTCCCTGTGGCCTTGCCAGTCCTAGAATAGCCCAAGTAGGTTAAGCTCTCTTGGAGTCCCATGCAGCTACCTGGGCCTATGCATGGCCCTCCAGGCCACACTGGTGACTTTAAGTGGTTTAAGAATAACTGGGCTGGGCTGGGAAGGTGGCTCAGTGGTAGAGCACTTGCCTTGCATGCCTGAGGCCCTGGGTTCGATTCCTCAGCACCACATAAGCAAAAAAGAAAAAAAGCCGGAAGTGGCATTATGGCTCAAGTGGTAGAGCACTAGCCTTGAGCTGAAGAGCTGAGGGACAGCACCCAGGCCCAGAGTTCAAGCCCCACAACACAACAAATAAAGAATAACTGGGCTATATAGACCAAGATCATGACAATTTGCCTTGTGATGGCTAAAACATGTTTGTAACTTTAACTAAGTATCACTATCCTACAATTCTGTGAAATGTATGTAATCATTTAATCTCAATACAATTATATATATATATATATATATATATATATATATATGTATGTATGTATGTATGTATGTATGTATCTTAAAAATAACTGGGCTTGGAAAGTAGCTTAGTGGTGGAGTGCTTGCCTAGACTGCATGAAGTCCTACGTTCGATTCCTCAGTACCACATACAAAGAAAAAGGAAAAAGTGGCACTGTGGCTCAAGTAGTTGAGTGCTAGCCTTGAGCAAAAGAAGCTTAGGGACAGTGACCAGGCCCTTAGTTCAAGCCCCAGGACTGGCAAAAAAAAACAAAAACAAAAACCTGTCCACCTGTGCATGGATGGGGGACAGGTCTGAGACCACACAGAGACCATTAGGGCCACATTCCCAGAGCCCAGCAATCCTAGCTCTAGTCCCAGGACTGAAAGATTCGGGGCCCACTGGCTTCCTTGCTCTACCACCTTTGGGGCTGCATTTCAGGGCCCCCAAAATGTAGGAAATATATACACCATTTGGGACAAGGAAGCTCTAAGACAGGGGACAGAGCCCCAGTCTGTACCCAGCATTCCCTAAGAAGGCCTCCTTCCTGGAACAGAAGAAACTCCCTTAGGTCAAGTTAAAGGACAAAAAACTGTTTTTCATTACAATCTGCCTGCTTTTGGAGCATCCAGAGCTATCGGCACTTGGCAAACAACTAGGGGAGAAAGGGATGCTGGTGGTGGAGCTGAGGAGGGTGGTATGGCTCATGCCCTGGCCAGCCTCTCCAGCCTGCCTTCAGGAAGGCCAACAGCTGGACAAAGCCAAGCCCCTGGGACCACAGACAACACACTCTACCCAGCCTGACACAGTCAAGACCGTCAAATAATTTACTGATTCAACCTGCACCCAATAGAGGCCCAAAGGGGGCTGGAAGGGGAGTCAAGGACCGGGGTGCCTGTGGCATTTGGAACAGTTCATGACAGTCTGTGCAAAGCATCCATGCGAGGGTCTTGGTCACCTCTGTCCACCGTCCCTGGGCTGGCTGGGCTCCAGTGGCACTTGCTTCCTTCCTTCCTTCCCTCCTTCTTCCTTGCTTCCTTCCGTCTGCACCTCCTCCCCACATCCGGCTCCTCCATGTCCTAAGCCTGGGACTGGGTGGGCACAAAGGATGCCACTGATCATCGGCAGGGAGACATCGGAGCAGACACGGAGGCTCGTCTAGCCAACCAGGGCCACTGTCCTGGCGCTTGTCTGGCCCCGCCTCACCTGGCGTCAAGAGAGCACACACTTGCAGCTCATGCAGCCGGGGCCGCTCTCATCAGGCGGGTTTAGCTTCCTCAGCTTATGCTGCCGAATCTCTCGCACAAGCGTATAGAAGGCATCTTCCACACCCTAGGAACAGAGGGACTGGATAAGAGACAAATTCACTGGGGGAGAAGACGTGGGGACCCCTCCCTGGGTGGGACACAGATATGCCTTGAACTTAGCCAACATCCTAGAAGAGCCCAGACAGCAGACTGCTCCTTCCTTAGCCCCCACTTCCCCCACACACAACTGGGGAGTTGGGCTGTGCGCAGCTGGAAGCCAAAGGGCCACCTTCCTAGAGGAACTCACTACTGAACAGCCCCTTAAAGCTTAGAGTAGCCCAGAACCCTCCAGGACCCTTGATTGGGGTTAGGCTTAAATACCCTACCAAACTGTTAAGGGCTAGGGACCAATAGGTGCCCACAGGACACTGGGGACAAGAGGGACTGGGCCTCAGGGTTACCGCTCCGGCCTGGCTCAGGGAAGCCCTCTCCACGGACCCCCACTTCCCTGGAGCTGTGGCAGCCCAGGACTGGAGGGCATGAGCCCAGACCCAGACCCTCACCTCCCTCACTGCCCTGATGCCCAGGGAGACTTACAACATGGGGGCTGCTGGGTCACATGGGTCCCAGTGGGGGGTCCCAGAGGGTCCCGGAGCTGGAGCCAGAGCCAGAGCCAGAGCGGCTGCCCTGTGTTGAGGGAGAGGGGCAATGAGCACAGCTGCCTGACTAGGGTGGGGCGGGTGAGTCCCTGGCTGGCTGTGGGGCTGGGGCCTCTCACCTGCCGGGTCTTGGCGGATGTCTCAATGTAGGGGATGCCGTAGCTCCTGGCAAGGTCCTGGGCCTGCCGAGACTCAACAGTGCGTGCGGCCAGGTCACACTTGTTCCCCACCAGCACCATTGGCACATCGTCTGAATCTTTCACCCGCTTGATCTGCTCCCTGAGACGGAAGAAGGTGTCAGTCTGCTGGGCCGAAGGCACGGCGGGAGCCAGGAGGTGCACGGAGGCCAGAGGCCAGGAGGCCTTCGGATGCAGAGAGCCGCCCAGCTCCACTGGGCCACGGGTTCCTGGGCTCACCTATACTGATGGATGTCTTCGAAGGACTTGGTGTTGTTGATGGCAAACACGCAGAGGAAGCCCTCCCCCGTGCGCATGTACTGGTCCCGCATGGCGCTGTACTCCTCCTGACCCGCTGTGTCCAGGATGTCCAGCAGGCACGTCTCCCCGTCAATGACCACCTGCTTCCGGTAGGAGTCCTGCAGGAGGATGTGGCCACTCAAACGGAGGGTTTGCCGGACAGCCCCACCCTGGGGCCTCTCAAACCACTGGCCAAGGAGGAGCAGGGCTGTGCCACCTGCAGGGTGCGGGACCAGAGCCAGCCCCATCTTGGCTCAAGGGGCCCAGGGCCCGTTCGGGCCACTGCGGGGGGCCCAAGTCAAGCGGTCCGGGCTCACCTCTATGGTGGGGTCATACTCGTCCACAAAGTGGTTCTGGATCAGCTGGATGGTCAGGGCGCTCTTCCCCACGCCTCCGGCACCCACGACCACAAGCTTATACTCCGTCATCGCTCTCCAAGGGGCTGCCACTCCCGGCTCGTCGGGGGCTCCTGCCCCACCTGCCGGGGAGGCCCACCTTCAGCCGGGCCTGGACACCCGGGGCGGCCCCGGCGTCCGGCCAGCTCACCTGCGGCCGTCCCCAGGGCCGGCGGCGGCCCTGCCCGGCCGGCGGGAGCGCTCACAACCACGCACCGAATGAGAAGGCGCCGGTAGGCGGAACGCCCGCGGGCGAGGCCGCCCCCAGAACAGGTCCGACCACGGCGGCCCCGGCGTGCCCGGGCAGGCCGCTGCCAGGCGCCGCACCGGCCTCGCCCGCCCGCCCGCCCGCGCGCGCCCGGCCCGGAGCTGCCGCGCGGCCGCCCGGCGGGAAGGGGCGGCCCGACGACGAGGGGCCAGGGCCCGGGTCCGCGCGCCGGCGGCGGAAGGCCCGGCCGAGGCCCCGCGCCAGGCCCGGGCTCGGCGTCCCCAGAGGCCCGGGCGGCGCCTCGCCCGGCGCGCGGCCGCCGGCGGGGCGGACCTGGCCGCCGAGGGCCTCCGGACGCCCGGCCGGAGCGGCCCCGCGCGCCGCGCTCGCCCGCGCCCCGCACACGCCCGCACTCACCGTTCACTGGTGCGACTGCCCCGGGGGCCGGGGCCGGGGCGGGGCGGGGGCGCGGGCGGGCACCGACTGGGCCCGCGCATGGGCTCCGTCCGCGGCGGGTGCGGCTAGGGCTGCGGGCGCCAGGCGCGGGCCACGGGCACTCAGCCGGGCCCGCGCTCGCCCCGCCCTGCGCCCGTCTGTCAGCTCAGCGCGACCGGCCATTGGCCCCGGGGTGGCCCCGCCCCACCTCGCTTCGATTAGCTGAGCTACCCGTCCGTCAGGAGCCGCAGCCAGGCGGGACTTCCGGGGGCGGCTCCAGGGCCGAGGAGCGTGGGGAAGCTGGCCGCTCCGGGAGCGAAGCCCCCGCGCCTCGGAGGTCCAGGCGGCTGAAGGGCAGTCCGGCGCCGAGCCTCGGGGAAGCTCCCGGGCTTGAGGCCGGGCCTGCCAGGCGTCCCCTGGGCAGCCGCCGGGTCACCGCGGCCGGGGACGCTCCCGCCCGCCCCACGCACGCGCGCACGGCGCCCCTGTCAGCACGCTCAGCACACCCTCCGGTCTCCCGCGGCGGGGCTGCTCTCGCTCGAGGCCCGCGCTCAGCTGAGCCACAGCGCCACTTCCGGCTTTCCCGTTACGGGGGCTGAGGAATCGAACCCAGGGCCTCCTGCACGCGAGGCCGGCGCTCCACCCCGGAGCCCGGAGCGAGCGTTTTTAAGTAGTTGTACCGGGAGCCTGCGTGCGTCCCCCTGCTGGGCGCGGCTCCGTCCCGGCGGGTCTGCGAGGACCCGCGGCCCCCACCGCGTGCCCGGCAACCGTTGCCAGGGGGCGGGGCCCGGCGCCCGGGCTCATGAATATTCGGGTTATTCAAATGAGGCCCCGCCCCCGTTGCCAGGACGCCCGGGTCCGCGGCCGGAAAGAGCCCGGAGTGGAGAAAGCACCGCAGCTGTGGAGGGGGCCGGGGCCGCGACCCAGGGTCAGGGCACCGCGGCCCGCTCGTCAGGTGAGAGCCGGGCAGCCCCTCCCCGCGCCCCCGGCGCCCGAGGGCGCCCGGGCTGAGGGCCGGGCGAGGGCCCGGCCGCCGCGGGCCCCGCCAGGGCTCCCAGGGCGCCATCCGGAGCGGCCTCCCGCGGGCCGGGGCCGCCTCCGGGCGGGAGGGCGGCCTGGCCGTCCCGGGGGCTCGGGCCGCGGCCACGGTCCGGAGAGCTAAGGAGCCCGAGGCCGCCCCTGCGCCCGGACTGTAGGCCCGGCTCTCGCCTTCCCGCTTGGGGCCCTTGGGGCCTGACGCGGTGGCAGTGCATGGCTTTCGGGAGCTGGGGGGGGGGGGGGGTGAGATCTCTAATCTCTGTCCGTGTGTGTGTGTGGGGGGGGGGGGGGTGAGATCTCTAATCTCTGTCCGTGTGTGTGTGGGGGGGGGTGAGATCTCTAATCTCTGTCCGTGTGTCTGTGTGTGTGTGCGTGTGTCGTGAGATCTCTAATCTCTGTCCGTGTGTGTGTGTGGGGGGGGGGTGAGATCTCTAATCTCTGTCCGTGTGTGTGTGTGTGTGGGGGTGAGATCTCTAATCTCTGTCCGTGTGTGTGTGTGGGGGGGTGAGATCTCTAATCTCTGTCCGTGTGTGTGTGGGGGGGGTGAGATCTCTAATCTCTGTCCGTGTGTGTGGGGGGGGTGAGATCTCTAATCTCTGTCCGTGTGTGTGTGTGTGGGGGGGGGGTGAGATCTCTAATCTCTGTCCGTGTGTGTGGGGGGGGGGTGAGATCTCTAATCTCTGTCCGTGTGTCTGTGTGTGTGTGCGTGTGTCGTGAGATCTCTAATCTCTGTCCGTGTGTGTGTGTGTGTGGGGGGGGTGAGATCTCTAATCTCTGTCCGTGTGTGTGTGTGTGGGGGTGAGATCTCTAATCTCTGTCCGTGTGTGTGTGGGGGGGGGTGAGATCTCTAATCTCTGTCCGTGTGTGTGTGTGGGGGGGGTGAGATCTCTAATCTCTGTCCGTGTGTGTGGGGGGGGTGAGATCTCTAATCTCTGTCCGTGTGTGTGTGTGGGGGGGGGGGGGTGAGATCTCTAATCTCTGTCCGTGTGTGTGTGTGGGGGGGGGGGGGGGGGGTGAGATCTCTAATCTCTGTCCATGTGTGTGTGTGGGGGGGGGTGAGATCTCTAATCTCTGTCCGTGTGTCTGTGTGTGTGTGTGTGTGTGTGTGTGTGTGTGTGTGTCTCGAGAGATCTCTAATCTCTGTCTGTGTGTGTGGTGAGATCTCTAATCTCTGTCTGTGTGTGTGTGTCTGAGATCTCTAATCTCTGTCCGTGTGTGTGTGGTGAGATCTCTAATCTCTGTCCTAAAATCCCAAAGCCTTTGGGCTCAAGCATTGGGGCCTAGCTGTGGGCAGGCCCTGACCCTGGCCAGCTCACAGTCTCCGAGGCCTGGGGCTGGCAGGCTGGGTGGAGGTGACATCTTCCCAGGGGCACACGGATCCTCCCGGGAGCCTGAGGCGTTGGCAGGTGGCAGGGAAGAACGGATCTTGGAGCAATATGCAACTGAATAGGAAGGACCAGAATAAGGAGTCAAAAACTAGATGGAAGCTGGGTGCTGTTGGCTCACACCTGTAATCCTAACTACTCAGGAGGCCCAGATCTGAGGATCATGGTTGAAAGCCAGCCTGGGCAGGAAAGTCTGTGAGACTCTTATCTTCAGTTAACCACCTAAAAACTAGAAGTGGCACTGTGGCTCAAAGTGGTAGAGTGCTAGCCTTGAGAAAGAAAAAAAAAAGCTCAGAGACAGTGTCCAGGTCCTGAGTTCAAAAAGCCCACAACTGACCAAACAAAAAAATTGGATGGAGGTGACAAGGTGGCCAAGGTCAAAGGATGGTGGTGTTGAATGTTCTGGTCAGAATTTTAGCTACAGAGGGGGCGGCGTGGGGGGTGGGATGGGATGGGAAGGGGAAACAAAGGAGGAGGCTACAATGCTTGATAAGAAATGTACTCATTATCTTGCCCATGTAATTGTAACCCCTCTGTACAGTATTTTCACAATAAAGAAATAAAAATAAAAAAAATTCTAGCTACAGGCTGAGAATGTGGCTCAGTGGTAGAGCGCTTGCCTAGCATGCATGAAGCCCTGGGTTCAATTCCTCAGCACTACATAAGCAGAAAAAGCCAGAAGTGGCACTATGGCTCAAGTGTAGAGTGCTAGCCTTGAGCAAAAGAAGCCCAGTGACAGTGCCCAAGCCCTGAGTTCAAGCCCCAGGACTGGCAGAAAAGAAAAGAAAAAAATTCTAGCTACAGCCCAGAGCTCCTGAGTCTAGGGTCTAGGGCACAGCACAGGTTTCTGTGTTTTTCAGGAGCAACAGCCAGGGAGCCTAGTGCAGGTGAGCAGTGTCACCCCAGGTAAGCTTTTCCAGAGATCTGCAGAAGGGCTCTGAGGGACAGGGTGCAGAAGAGGCCGATGTACAGGAGATGGTTCAGAGCAGCAGACACAAGACATCCTTCTGGGATGGAAGAAGTAGGATTCAGATGAGGACTTGGTCCTCCTTTGCACAGGGCTCCATGTTCCTCCAAATCTGCTGGGCCAGGTCCCCTGTCAGGATGGTCACAAGTGTACTCAAGACCAAGCTCCAAGCCAGCAGCCCAGCCTAGGTGCCACTGGGCCCAGTGACCTGACTATGACTGTCACCATCCTCTCTCACAGGTGTCACCCGTGGACTCATGCTGCCTCCTTGCCCGGATGTTTGACCCACAGCACAAAGCAGCTACCTTCAGGTGTGGGGTCCGCCAGTGCAGAAGGAGGTAAATGAAATGCCTGAGACCCTGATCCTGGGCCCAGACTCAGACATCAGGAGGAGAAGAACCCACAACCCAGGGCTTGGGGCATGCCAGGAGCCTGTCAGCAAAAGCATATTGCTGATCACAGTAGGCAACTCATTCAGTACCCTAGCCTCACTGGGGCCCCAGATGGCCAGCCCTGGAGCCAGCACTCACTGTGGACACCAAAGTAAACAAAGACAGACACAAAAGGAGGATGGGAATGCAGGCAGGGGGCTCTAGGAATCCAGGACGGGAGATCTTCTGTGTGCCAGGCCCTATCAGGGTTGTATTGGGGTCTTTACTGGCCACAGAATGGAAGCTGGAGTAGAAGGTAGAAGGCCCTGCCTGCTTCCTCTCCTGGCAGGTTGGATGTGGATGGACCCAGCCTGGGATGGATCCCCGGGGCCTCTGCCTGGCACAGTCAATGTCCGGGTACGGGAGCTGAGCTGGCAGGGCCAGCACAACCCCTCCCCACACAGCAAGGGCTTCGGCAGCCATGGGAGCATCCACAGGGAGCAGCTAATGAAGGAGCACCTGTCTCCTGCCCGACTGGTAAGTGTCAGGGGCCAGGGCTCAACAACGGGGGTCTGCATCCTGAGTGCTGATGATGTCCAGCCCACCCTCATCCCAGCCCCTGCAGCGAGGTGCCCTCCATCTTTCCACCTTTGGGACCCTATATAACCCAAAGTATCAGCAGTCCTAGGGTCTCAAGGCCTGAAGGAGGCAGGGATTCCGCATGTACTTGCTAAGCCACTGTCCTCAAACAGAAGACCCTCCCCCCTTCCGTGTGAACTTCACAGCACACACACACACACACACACACACACACACACACACACACACACAGAGGCCCAAAGTGTTGGGAAATAGGAGATCTGTGTGTGAGTTCCTTGTGGGAGTGTCTCCCCCAGAATAAGGGTGCTCCAAGCCCCCCCCCCCCATCCCTGGGCCACAGTTCCTATTCCCACGCTCAGCTGACTGGGTCCATAGGCTCACTGCAAGTGGAAGCTTTTCAAAAATATGGAGTGGGATCTCACTCACTGTTGGACCCGGCCCTGAGCCTCAGAAGTTTGCATAGAACCTATCTAGACAACCTTGCATTTAGTACCCAGGAATTGCCTCCTACCCACCCCGGGGAGATGACCAAGCCCAATGCTGGTACCCCCAGGACCCCTCAGAGTAAGATCCAACCTGCCAGTACAGGACCTTCAGGACTTCTACAAGGTCCCCACCAATCCCACAACAGGTAGGGCCAGGGTCCTGGAAGGCCTTGCTTTCATCTGACACAAGCAAAAAAAGGCCTCATCCAGAGACCCAGGACTTCAGGTAGAGTAGTCAGCACCACCTCTGCATGTGTAGGCATGCTGTCAATGGGTTCAGGTAGGTAATGGCCAGGTGGTACTCAGCAGGATGGGTTCTGGACTCTAGCTATATTGTCGGGTCTGCTCCAAAGGTTCCATCTGAAAAACCAGCCACTCCAGGGGCAGGCTTGGTTCTATTGTCTCCCAGCTGGTTACAACCTCCAGATACCATGTTCACCCAGGTTCCACCAGCCAAGCTGTCATGACCAAGGCCAACATAGGTGAGGCAGGGGACATTTACTACTGGTGCGGGGGGCACCGGTAGAGTCCTGCAGCTTGGAGCATGGAGGAAGCTGTTAGGGAGTGACTCCGTCTTCTCTCTGCAGCAGGCCCTGGCCCAGGTGGATGACCTCCAAATGGTGCGGGTGCTGGAGATGTGTGTGGACACCCGTGAAAACAGCCTGGGGAACTTTGGTGAGAGCTTCTGAGTCACAGCCATCTCAGGCCACCATCACAGCCCTCACCTCTCTGTTTTGGTTGTAGAAACCAAGCCAGCAGGCACCCTGGACAGCACGTCTCTTTCCTTACGATTGCCCCCTGGCACTGAGCAAGCACTGGGCAGAGGTGGGGGTGTTAGCCTGTTATCCATACTTCAAACTGCCCTCCAGGACAGCCTCACCCAAACACTGGCACCCAGCACAAAGCAGCCACTGCTATAACAGTGCCCCTCGAAACAACACAGCCCGGTGGTAGGGGCTCCCAAAGCTTATTTTGAAATAACTTGAAATGTAAGCACTTACAGGAATGGCGCAAAGATCTCCATGTGCCCTTCCCCAGATCCTCCATGGTGGTGGGCCTGAGGCCCCGTTCTTTCCCTTACACGCATGCACACGTGCACGCACACACAACAGGGAAACTTGCTTTTCTGATCTGTTGAGAGTCATGGATATGATGTCCCATGTCAATTAATTCTTCAGTATGTATTTCCTAGTTGAGAGGAATGTCTCTGAAATGCAGTGCCATGATCAAAATCAGGAAATTACACAGATATGGGACTCTTATCTGTGCCACAGACCGGTTCAGATTTCACCAAACAACAGGAAAGATTCTTGCTGTCCAGGATCCTTGTGGGTTTTGTTTTCATTTCTCTGGTTACAGTGAAACTAAATCTGCCCCACCTTGGTTTGTCTTGCTTTTTTTTTTTTTTTCTGTTAAATCCTTAACAGGCCAGTGTAACGAGCCTGTGTGCACACAAGGTCAGGGACATCTTCTCCCCCTCCAGCCCTGCTACCAGGCCCAGCTTGCAGTTCTATGCTGCACTTGTCCTCTGGTTCAGAGACTGTCTTCCAGGAACAGTACCCCACCCAAAACATCACTGAGAACACGGGCTTCCCCTGGGACTGGGCCACGCTGGATGGTGACATTGCTGAGAATAGGTGTTGGTACTGTGTGCTGACACAGACTGCCACCGGGACCCAGGTGCCCAGGGGCAGACAAGGGAGGGCCCTGGCTCCCTTTCCCAAACTTAGTCCTGCAACTCATGGGCCTGTGGCCTTCCAGAGACAGCCTGTATAGTCCTATATGTGCAGCAGCCCCCACAGAAGACAGGGGGCAGAGGGCTGCGGGCAACCCCGCTGAGTCTGCCTGTCCCTCTGTGGCGTAGGTAAGTGGCTGGTGGGCACACATCCCCTTGGCATGGACACATTCCTTTTGGAATGGGGGGGGGGGGTAACCATGGGAGAGGAGGCGACTGAACAGGTAAGTGGGCAGGGGTGAGCCAAACCCGCTTCCTCCTGTGGCCCACAGGAGTGCACCTCCCCAACCTGAGCCAGCTGAAGCTGAGTGGCAGCCGCCTCGCCTCCCTCAGGCAAGTGCCGCCCCCCCCTGGGAGGGCAGGGCTGGAGGACAGTGGGGATGGTAGTGAACTGAGGCCAGAGGGCCTGGCCCTTGGCTGGCTACCGCTGTCCTGGGAAGCCCAGTGCCGCTCCACCCTGCTGACGCCTGCAGACATTCTCTTGCAGGCAGCAGGGTCTCCCCTGGGTTGAGGCCTCTCCTGCTGGTCCCTGCAAGAGAATGAGGCCAGGTCCTGGGTCCCTGGCTCCCAGGGCATCCTGACCTCTAGCCGTCCTGTGGGCTCTGGCTTCCCGCTCTGATTCCTTCCCCTGAGCTTTACTCACCTCCACAGGGGGGACACTTGCTGCACATGGCTGATGCACGTACCCAAGGCAGTCATGCCAGGTCCTGTGTCTGGCAAGCCAAAAAATTCTCACTGAACTCCAGAAAAGGGGTTTCTGGAGGACATGCTAAACCAACCAAGACAGTATCTCACATTACAATCCAGGGCATCAGCCACACCATGAGGCCAGGAGCTATGGGAGGGGAAGAGAGGGGGCTGCTGACCTGGAGAGAAGGGCCTGACCCTCCTGGAGGCCTGACCTCAGGCCAGAGCAAAAAATGCACCTTCCTAAACGCAGACGCAACTGTTGAGGAGGCTCAGCGCTTTCACAGCAAAGCTATGTGTGTGTGTGAGAGAGAGGGAGTGAGCGTACCATGTCAGGCTTGAGTTTAGGATTTGGGGACTGTCCCTAAGATTTTTTTCACACAAGATTGGCACTCTTATCACCTAAGCTGTAACTCCACTTCCAGCTTTCTGCTTGTTAGTTGGAGATAGTCTCATGTACTTTTCTGCCTGGGCTGATTTTGAACTGTGATCCTCACATCTCAGCCTCCTGAGTAACCAGGATTATGGGTGTGAACCACCAGCACCCAGAACCAAATCTTTTTTTAATAATTAGCTCTCATTGGACTGGAAAGAATCAAGACAAGAGAGTAACAGACTACCTGAGTGATTTGAGCAAAGGGAGTCTTGTGAAAAACATCTTTGGCTTTATGTAGCAAGAGTCTGGAAGCATATGGCAAAGTAATCCCCGTCAAAATTCTAGAAAGTTCTCCAGCTATCTGAGTTGGGCTCCATGTACTATATCTATTTATTTCTAGGTAATTAAGCAACTTCATGTTAAACATTTTCTTGAATTTCCTTACTTACATCAAAGAGAGTTCAATCAAACATAGCAGGTCTGGAAGTGGAAGGTGTTTCCCTGGCAGCAGCCCCCAGAGCAGAATCAGGAGTAGGGCTCATCTGCTGACACGGGCAAGGCCCCACATTTAAACCCCAGCACCCCGAAAGAACGGCAGCAGCATAAGCAGTCCGGCCTCATGTATTCGATGTCCTGCACTGTTGTCCTTGCTGGGGATATCAGGCCTTGCTCTGGGCACAGTGAACGAGTTTTCCAGGTAGATGTTTTCCGGTTTCTTTCTAGGCATTTTTGTATATTCTGGGTACATTTTAGACTTTACTCAGTGTGCCACGCCAGCTTCGGGGTGTCCTCCACTTAAGCAGATTCCTTTGTTGTAATTGGTTAGAGATAAGTGTCTCGTGGACTTTCCTGCCCAATCTGGCTTTGAACCACGATCCTCAGATCTCAGCCTCCTGAGTAGCTAGGATTACAAGTGTGAGCCACCGATGCCCGGCTTCACAGTGTTTTTTAAGAGCAAAAAGGCAAGTCTTTCCTCAAATTTCTCCACTGAAACATTCAAAAGCCAGAAGTATCTACACATACTTGATGGTAAGGCAACACAACCCAAGACCTCACACCCAGTCAAACAACAAACAAGCAGATGCAGCAAACATCCATGAGAGGCATCTGTGAGCACTCTAGAGTCAATGGACACAAACTCCAGCCTAGGAAGGTGATTAGAAAAGCCATTTAAACCAATAAATGAAATAAATGCTGACCCTTTGTAGCTAAAGAACAAATACTAAGTAAACACAGATGCAGACAACAGTAGAAAATTTAAAATCCTTGGTCTGGGAACATGGCTTAGTGGTAGAGTACTTGCCTGGCACGCATGAAGCCCTGGTGCTGTGGCTCAAGTGATAGAGCTCTAGCCTTGAGCAAAAAAGCAGCTCAGGGACAGTGCCCAGACCCTGAGCTCAAGTCCCAAGACTGACAAAAAAACAAAACAAAACAAAAAAAACACCTACCAGACGCATGGTAGATGAATGTAACCAGGGGGACTCCTGAGCTGGAGTAGAGCTGAAGAAAGTGCCCAGCAATGGTGGTTATTCACAAAGCCTGTGGTGAGGGAGCATTTGCCCAAGGAGGGAGTGAGTAGCCAGCACCGCGGTACCTGCGTGAAGAGCATCCTACAGGGAACAGGACACTCTGTGGTCCCAGGTGTGGATGCTGGCGATTCTGGTTGTAGCAGGGACTGATGGGAGAGGATGCACTGGGCAGCAGGTAGGGTAGGGCCGGGCTAAGCCATTCCCCAGGGCCAGACCCAGAACTTCCAAGGACAAAAAACACACAAAAGTGTGTTTTAACCATCTGAGAACAGGAGATCACAGCAAGGGGAGAAGGTCTGGAGACTTCCTCAGCTGAGGTGGCCAGAAGGCAGCTATCACTACCGCTGGCACCTGAAGACAGCCAGCATGGATGATGGCTTGCCACCAAGTCACCTCTGGCTAGACAGGGCTCTCCATCTAAGGACTGCCCCGCCCAACCGACTTTTTTCCACAGAGACCTAGGCACCTCTCTGGGCTGCCTGCAGGTGCTGTGGTTGGCCCGCTGCGGTCTGACTGACCTAGACGGCATTGGCTCCCTCCCGGCGCTGAAGGTGGGCGTGTGGCCCCTGGGGGAGGAGTGGGTGACAGGATCTAGCCCTGGCTAAGCCCCCTATGTGGCCCCCAGGAACTCTACGTCTCCTACAACAACATCTCGGAGCTGAGCCCACTGTGCATGCTGGAGCAGCTGGAGGTGCTGGACCTGGAGGGCAACAGCGTGGATGACCTGGGGCAGGTGCGATACCTGCAGCTGTGCCCGCGCCTGGCCACGCTCACGCTGGAGGGCAATCTGGTGTGCCTGAGGCCAGCCCCCGGCCCTTCCAACAAGGTGTGGGTGCTGGACGCCCAGCCAGTGTGCGCGGGAGGGGCCTATGGCCAGGGACCTCTGTCCACGTTGCCCTGTGGCTCGTCCTCGCTGAGCTTGAAGGCCTGGCAGCATGCTCTGCCTGGAGCCACCGCACACACACACAAACAGGCCCCACAAGCCCCACACACCTCCCCCCATGGTGCACCTCAGTAGCTGCTGCTTGGCGGGGGAGGGGTTGAATCGGGGGACCTGCTGGGCCCCACAACCACCCAGGGCACAGTGGCCGCTCAAGTGAGCAACAGCCAAGTTCAGGGCAGGACCCAGGCTGAAGGACAGCACAGGACCAAGGGCACATCCTCAGTGGGCGAACACCCATCCCCGATGTCAGTAGGTGGGGCCGCATATCAAGGCCCTGGCCCCTCGGTCCTGATCCGTGGTGGTGTAGGGGACGGGGGTGGGGGGGTGCTGGCCTCAAGAGTCCACTGGAGGGCTGGGAAGGTGGCTCAGTGGTAGAGCGCTTGCCTTGCATGCATGAGGCCCTGCATTCGATTCCTCAGCACCACATACGCAAAAAGAAAAAAAAGCTGGAAGTGGCGCTGTGGCTCAAGTGGTAGAGTGCTAGCCTTGAGCTGAAGAGATGAGGGACAGCGCCCAGGCCCAGAGTTCAGGCCCCATGACCGGACCCAAAAAAAAAAAGCCCACTGGACCCAAATCTGCTGTCCCTCTCCCTCCTCCCTGCAGGCATTCCAAGGCTACAACTACAGGGCAGAGGTGAGGAAGCTCATCCCCCAGCTGCATACCCTTGACGAGATACCTGTCACACACACCAACCTGCCAGACACCCAGAAGCTGAACCAGGACTGGTTCATGGTGAAGGAAGCCATCAAAGAGAGCAGCCTGCTGGACAGTCTCCTGCCCCGGCTAGGTAGGGCATAAGTTTACTGTAGCCCCTGGCCCAGAAGAGGCTTCCAGTAGCCACTGAGGCTACTGACAGACCTCTACCAGCACCCAAGAGGATAGGCCTCCATCAGTCGGCAAGACAGGCTCCATCAACCCGAAACCTCTCAGAGATGCATCGCTGCACATCAGACCTCCCAGCATGACCCGTTCCCAGAACAGTGCACATGAACCCCAGTTCAGGACTGTCCCCACGGGGGTGCCCGCAGGGCCTGCATTTGCAGAGAGGGGGAAGTCCGCAGCGGAAGGCCTGTCTGGAAAGATGGGGACCTGAGAGGCAAACCTCAAAACAGGGCCTCGAGACTGAAGCAGGCCAGAGACCTCTAGTTCTGTTCTGGACAGATCACTCCCCCGGAGCCACCCTGCGGAAACTTGACCCAGTGCTGCCCCTGGCAGAGACCCCGCCCTGGTCCCTGTCTCTGCTGGTCCCGGGGGGACCCCTGCCTGAAGACCTGCTTCCTGAGGACCCAGCCCCAGGAGACCATGCCAGCAACCTCACCCATGGTAACTGATCTTCCCCAGCCCAGAGCTAACCCTACTGCACCTCCGCTCCAAACCAGGCACAGACACAGCCTCTTCTTCAGGTGCCTGGCAAGTCCTCTGTGGGAACCCCACCAAAGGCCTGCGAGAACGTAGACACCAGTGCCAGGTACATCCTCCCCACACCCCCAGGTGAGCCGGGACGCCAGCCCTCCCACAGCGCCTCCCCGACGGGGCCCCTCCCCCTTCCCCCACAGCCCTTCCCCACCCCAGCACAGTGGACCCCTGGAATGGACCATCACTCAGGGCCCCAACCTCCACAGTGGGCCAGCATCCAGGGCTCTGCCCTGCACCCCTTCCAGGGCCAGGTCCCCGAGCCAGTCCATTTTCTCCCTGGGCATGGTTACCCTGAAGCAGCTGCCACAGCTAGATTTGACCACCAGCCTCCATCCCAGGACCTGACCCTGCAGGCAGTTGTGATCTGGATGTAGCTTTGGGCCAAGAGTGACTGGTGCCCCTCCTCTGTGAACGCCACCATGGTGACCTGTCTGGTGTGGGGGTGCAGGGGTGGGGGTTAGTTTGCCTGGGTAGCTCCTGGACCTCCGTATATCCAACGTAGCTGACATGGGGTGCGGAGGCCAGTGGAGCCCCTGCCTCTCACACGTTTGGAACTGGTCCAAGGCAGACATGCCTACAGCCCCTCCTCCCCATTTCAGTACCCTCCCCCATAGGAAGGTGTCACAGAAGAAAGGGGCTGAAGCTCCGAAGGACCCCCTGAAGGCCCCTGGAGAACAAGAGGACCTGTTTGAGCCCCAGACCTCCCCCAGCCCTCCAAGCCTGACCTCAGGTACTCCCCCTAGCCTTGGATGAGCACATGCCTGCTCAGCTCCTCCTCAGCCGGGCTGGGGAGGGGCTGTAAAGGACAGTCCTGTCTTGGGGGAGGGGAGCCAATTCCAACCAATTCCTCATACATGTACACCAGGGGACCTGGAGCCACCTGGGCTAGATGCAGGAGGGACAGGTATTCCACTAGAGGATATGGGCTGAGCGCAGAGAGGGCAAGATCAAAAAAGAGCCACCTAGTGGGGTGCCAAGTGGCCAGGGCAGGCTCTGACCTCAGGGGTGCAGGCGGGAGGCTAGGGGGTGAACCTGAAGTCTGTTGGAAGACCAAGGCAGGGCCACGTCACCCCGCAGGGCCTGTGCTAGACTCAGGGGTGCAGAACTAGGGAGCTGGAATGGGAACTGGAGGGAGGGGCTCTCTCCAAGGCCACTGGCTTCAGGAAAAACCCTCACCTGCAGTAGTGGGCAGACCTAGAGAGGAATGAATGCTGCAGGTATGAGTAACAGGAGCACGGGCTTAAGGGTTGGCAAAGAAATCCTCTGAAGGATGGACAGAGGACAAAGCAACCAAACCTTCGCCCTTCTATCGGCTGGCTAGTGTCTGGGCAGATAGGTGGGAAATGGCCCTGAGACAGTCAGACGTGAACAGCTGGCCAAATGTGAGGGCGAGCAGGAGAGATGGCAAGGGTACCTGCGCCTTCCACTCCAGTTACCAGGCCCAGGTGACCAGCGGGCGACCCTGGCTACTGGCCTCAAACTGTCCTGTGGCCAGGCCCACAAAGCCAGAGCCCAGACTTTGTGTGCTCTTTGCTGCCCAAGAGCTAGCCAGTCCAAGTAGTAGAAGTCATGGGACTGGAGTCCCACGGAGTCACCGGAGTCTAGTCATGGGGCTGGAAGAGAGGAAATGGGACAGAGAGGTCTGTCCGGGGAGGAGTGTACAACCTGTGCAGCCGTGATGACCACAGGAGGCCTCTTTGCCCGTGGTGCCCCTCCCCCAGCCTGCCACCGTGTCCAGGCTGCAGGACAGGGCGTGTAGGAACCTCCCACCTGGCGAAACCTTTGTCTGAAGGGCTTCTCTGACCTGCTCTTCCCTTGCTTTCTAGGGCTTTCCAGGACCTTGTGCTGTCACCTGATCCCTTCTCCTCCCAAGTACCCAATGCCACCTAATTCAGACCACAGCTCCCCCGGGGCATCAGACCTGCCCTTCAGGGGGCGCAGGCTCCGAGCCCTGGGCAGTATGGGCCCCACCCCCGTTGAGAGGCCTGGCCTGGGTGAAAGGCTGGCTACAGCCACTGCCCTGAGAGCCCTGGAGGTGTCCTCAGGCCCCGGCCCTCGAATCCAGGGGTGTCCAGACACAAACCCAATAACAGATCCAGCAGCCAGGCCACCAGGTCTCTGCTGTCTACCTCATCTAAATCCTATCCCTCCAGCCCATTCCCACCCTTAGTCCCCCCCACCCTGCCCCACTGATGGGCTTGCCTCAGTAGGAGCTGAGAGGTGCCCAGAAGATCTTGAGACCACCACCAGGATTCTGGCCTCAGCATCTAGTGGACGTGGGGATGGGAGGTGAGCCTGGTGCTGGAGAGGCCCCTCTTGGCGGAGTGACGTCCAGGACTTGGGACAGCCAGGGCATCCGAGTTCAGACCCCAGGTTAGGTTTGAGGGGAGGCCCAGCTCCCCACCCCTCCTAGCCCACTCGCCCTCCCAGGGGCCTGGGGCAGAGGGGCAGGCCTTGCCAGTGAGGAGTGGACGGGCTGCAGCAGCTGGACTCTGCAGGTCCCCCAGGCTCTGTGGGACCTTCTTTGTTGCCCACGGTCCAAGATGCTCACCCTAGACCTCCAAGGGCACACCTAGCACTCGGGAAATGGTTCTGTCCTCTTGTAACAGTCAAATCACTTTCGACTCTCAGGTGTTCAGAAATGCTGTTTACTTTGTAGGCAAAGTTGGTTCAATAAATTATGCAGCTGGTACTGCCTGCCTGGCCAGACCCCCTCCACCCTCCAGCACACATCCTCAGCTACATCCTCCAGCACACGTCAGTGGTGATGGGTGGGCAGCTGAGAAAGCGGAACCCGTATTTGCTCTCAGCTGTGCTCTGCACAGACAAAGCCACCATGGGGCAGCTCCGGTCTACACTTTTCCGGCATACCTGCGGAACAAGCTGAGCATGAGCGCCAGCCCCGAGAAGCAGCTGGGCCTGAGGGCCACCCAGGCCGGCCAGGCAGACCGGGAAGGCGCTGGGTGGGCCGGAGTACTTACCTGGAACTTGTCCTCCCTCCTACTCAGACACTTCTCGAGGGGCAGCCCGGCCTCTGTGTAGGACAGGACGGAGTGGGGTCAGGCTGGCCAGCCAGGGTCCCTATGGCAGAGGGGGTCAGGCCACCCTCGCTCTGCACCCCATGCTCACCAGGGACGGTGGGCGGAAGCTGCTGTACCTCAGTCTTGGTGCCCTCCCGCTGTGCCGGACCCTTTCCTGGGTGACAAGGCTTGCGAGTGCTTAGCCGTGGCAAAATGCCCCAAGTCCTGGTGGAACCGGGCATCTTGGTCAACCTGGGAAAGGGATGGGACCGGCAGGGTGCGCGAGAGTTCAGAGCAAGTTTAGAGCAGTGTTTCTAGCCGTGGCCAGGCCTAGGGAGCCGAGGTGCTCCTGGGGAGGGCGTGGAAGACAAGTTTTGCTGGCGAGGACCAGACTGAGGGACTCATACCCACCCCGGCTTCCGGCGTCCAGCCTTGGACTCCTGCACTCTGCCCTTGCACATAGGTAAAGGCCGGCGCTGCTGTTCCTGGGTGTCTGTCCCAAGTCCAGCCTTGGAGAGAGGGAAACAATCGATAGACCAGTCCATGTTGTCCTCAAAGGTTCTGGAGCCCAGGGTGGCACAGTGTGGGGCTTGGTGTTCACTGAGGACCTTCAGGGCCAGCAAGGACACATCAGTGACCCCTGCCCTGCCAGGCGTGCCCAGCCCTTCCCGACGGGGACCAGCACTGACCTGACCCTCAGCGTTCAGGAGCAGCGTTACGCAGCCCTGGCTGGAGTGGAAGTAGACAGGTTCCTGGCCCAAGAATATAGGCGGCTGCTTCTTGGTGCGGCGAGTCCCCTCACCCCACACCTGGGAACGGTACGGGACGTTGGGGGAGGAGCAGAGGGCTGGAGTGGGGCCACACGGGCTCATGGACAGGGGGGCGCACCGTAATGTGGTGTCTTGGGGCCAGCAGGGTGCCAGGTGGGAAGCGGAACATGCACACTGGGAAGTTCTGCACCAGCTGCTGCAGCAGGAAGCCGCCCAGCTCCACAGTCTCCTCTTGGGACTGGTTGAGGATGCGGACAAACCTCTCCCGGCAATTCACAGCTACAATCTTCAAGCAGCAGCTATCCTGGCTGGGGCAGAAAAGGAGTGCCAAGGAGGTGCCCTGACCCAAAAGCTGCCCACCAGCCGGTGTGCCGATGGCCGGGCAACCCCTCACCTCAGCTGGTACCCAGAACCTTGGTAGTCAGGGTCCGCAAAGGGCTTCGGGACCATCTTGCTGGGGTGGCCCAAGTGGGGTTTCTGGCGACCTACGGAAATGAGTGCTCTCAGGGAGCAAGGCCCACAGGTGCTGTCCGGTGGAGACAGTACCTTATGAGGCCAGACAGGCCTGCAGCATGTTGGGTCTGCCTGGCAGGGGAGCAGGGCCTGGAGAGGTGGGGAGTCCTACCTGCGCCACCTTCTGTGTCTTTGCTGAAGCTTTCGCTCCATGTCTGGTTCTGCTCAGAAGACAAGTCTGGGTACCCGGGCACCTTCTGCCCTTGGGAATGCAGGACCGGCTGGCAGTGGTGAGAGTCAGGGTTGGTGTCCTCTGAGCTGCTGGAGTGTACCACGGGCAGGGAGCTCCACTCCAGACTCTTGCCAGGCCTTTCCGGGTGCTTGTCAGGGGAATCCGAGCTCCAGGAGTCCAGCGAAGAGGGCGGGCGGGGCTGGATCTGCCTGGGGCCACCTTCTGCTCACTGGGTGCCCTGGCTGGCAGCCCCGCCCTCATCCAAGCCCACAGCATGGTAGCAGTGGCCCAGTGGGTCCTTCCCTTCATCTTGAACCCATCCTACAGATTAAAGCCAAGGCTTGGAAGAACTAAAGGACTTGTCTAGGGATACTTAAAGACAGAAGGAAGCCTGACTTACTTCTGCCAGGCCAAGCCTTCCCCCTTGCCCTGGCCCCTGGGGCTCCCAGCCCAAGGCAGCTAGTTACTTCTGCTCCACGCTGGACGTGATGTCGGTGAGAAGGTTGGGGAATCGACGGGCAATGCTATTCCAGTCCACGTCCTCCAGCCGGAAACCCTGGGCAGGAAAGCAACAGGCACGTGGCTCCCTACCCAACAAGTGGAATGCCCCTTGCCTCCAGCGGGGGGTCCTGCTCACCTCCCCGGTCTGCTCATTCTCTGAGAAGTCACTGGGTTCCATCAGGGTCTCCGCAGTGATCACCTGCAAGGGACACAGGCCAGGGGAAGACGCCTCTCCCCCGGTGGCACCCCTCCCTCCCTCGACCTCATCAGCACCTTCTGCCAGGTGGGCAGGAATGCAGGTCACATGACTCCTCTTGGTGGAGGCAGCCTGACCAAGGGCAAGCTAGGAACCCTAACAGAAGCACTCAACAAAGCAGCACGATGACCTCCAAGGACGGCTGGGAAGGGCCCGGGGGCTAAGCTCACTTCCACGCTGCCGGTCTGCGACCGAAGTATGCGGCCCACCCAGGAGGAGTGGGCCAGATGCAGGAGGCATGACTTCTGGAAGTTCTGTAGCTCATCCTCCAGCTGCTGCACCATGTGGAGGGTCTGCATCAGCTGCTTTTCCAAGAGCTCTTTCTCCTGCTCAGGGGAACCGTCCATGAGGAGCCGCCTGGTGTCCTGTTCCCAAGACCAGCCTAGGCACCCCTGCCAGGGCCTGGCCCCGCTCCCCGCGCCCAGCGCCTCACCAGCCGGGCTTGTTCTTTTTGCGCTTTGAGATCCAGAGTCAACTTCCGGACCTGGTTCTGCAGAAACTTCTCCTGAGTGCAAGGACTCCTGGGAAGAGAGGCAAGCGCATCTCAGCGGGCCCTGCGTCAGCGCCAGGCAGGCTCCTGAGGTCAGCATCGGAGCCTCCCGCTTGACTGCCATGGCACCCTGGGTGTGGGCTAGGGCTTAGGGTTACAGTGCAGCAGGTTAAGGCAGGTTGTACCCTGTCAGGTTTGAGGAGGGGTCCACATGCTCCGGGCTACACTTACACTTAGAGCGTAGTAACTTACTTAGGGTTCCCTCATCTAGCAAGGACTAGAGCTAGCAATGAAGGTTGTCAAAGTGCAAGTGCTAGAAACAAAGAAGTGCTAGCTCAGCAGCTGGGGTTGGGGTTTGACAGAAACCAGAAGTTGGGGAACCCAGAGGCTGGGCTGAGCTGGGGATGTCACTGCTGACCTCTCCGGGGGGATCCCTGCCACCTCCTGTAGGATGTGGCAGTGCCGGTCATTCTGGAGGGCCGACCGCAGTGACTGGATCTCCAGTTCTCTCAGTTGCCACAGCAGCCTCAGGGTCCGGGGGTCCAGGGCCTCAGGGGACAACCTGCAATTCCAGTCCCTGCTGCTTAACCAGCCTGGTCTTCCGGTCAGCCCAGGAGGCTGGCCACCTGTCCTTCCTGTCCTTACTGCAGGTTGACAACTGGTGGTTGACTTGTGGTGTCCTGGGAACAGGAGGGATTCCCTTTATCTGTAGGTGTGTCCACTGGAGGCCCCACATCGCTGCTGGCCGGCTCTCCATCTGCTGGCACAGGGGGCACCTCCTCCTCTTCAGACTCTAGGGAAGATTCTGGGGCCATGCTCGATGTTGGTCAGGAGCTGGGAGGAAAAGTAAGCTCAAGTTTATCCTTGTATCCCAGGCATGGGCATCTCATGGAACTCACATGGGCCGGAGAGAACTGAGTAGCGCTACCAGTTCACTAGGGGTCACTGAGGCCCACATGTATGTGTCCACCCCATTGGACAGAGGGCTGTTGGTCACAGGAGAGTCTTCCTCTGTTTCAGGTCGGGCGGCAGGTCATTTCCCTGCCGTCATGTTCTCAGTGTGTCCGCCAGCTGTCTCCTCTTTGCCCCCCTAGCCCTCAGCCTAGAGCAAAGGTCAGAAGTACTGGCACTCTGCCGTGACCTCATTCACATGCCCCAGCCCAAGGGGCTCACCACCAACACCCACCTGAGGCTTGAGCCCTTAGCAGGCTAGGGAGGGATGGAGAGGTGGGTTCTATGCAGTTGCCATGGGTACCTGCATCCAGAAGAAGGGCTGTTTGTTAACAGAAGCTTCCAAGGAGACCCAGTCCTAGAGCCATGAATGGGTTCTGGGCCAGCCCAGCCTAGAAGTATAGGGAATGGGCCACTGCCCAGCTAAAGACCAGAGGACCACATAGACACCTGAACCCTTCCCTGGTCAATGGTGACTGGTGGACTAGGGGCTCAGGGGCTGTGCTGGCTAACAGCAGTGAATGGTAGACTTGGCCGCAGTGGTCTAGGACTGGGTACCTAACCCAGAAATGGAAACTTCACCTTCCCTCCCCATCACCACACCCCCTGGGCTGCCTCAGTGGCGGTCCATCCTAGGGAGCCCTAGGGACAGTTCCTTTGCTCCAGGATCAAAATGAGGCCTAGAAGTGGGGTACTCCAGTCTTTGTGTAGCATCCAAATTGGTGCTTTCTCTCACACCTTCAACCTTTGCCACTTTAGGCTTCAGGAGGGGCCTTATGGGGTGGACACACAGGCCTCCACGCCCCTCCCCCCACTTCCACCTGATTGGGGCAGAGCAGATAGCCAGAGGCCTGGGATTCTCTCGCCAGGATGGCAGGGGAGGTGGAGGGGCGGCTTTAAGTGCGACTCAGTATGCAGAGGCCTGGGCCAGCCTGCTGCTCCCGAGGGCACTGGGCCCCACTGGGGCGGGATGGAGCCTCAGACAAAGAGCCTGGGGCCTTTGTCCTAAGCAGCCTCAGAGGGTACTCCTCCCCCATCATGGCTGCTGCGCCCACCAGCCCTGCCCGGCGGGGGAGGGGGGGAAAGGGGGAGAAAGGGAGGAGGGCTCCCTCCTCCTCCTGCCCGGCGGGGGGGCTCCCTCCTCCTCCTGCCCGGTGGGGGGGGGCCCCCTCCTCCTCCTGCCCGGTGGGGGGGGCTCCCTCCTCCTCCTGCCCGGCGGGGGGGGGATCCCTCCTCCTCCTGCCCGGCGGGGGGGGGCTCCCTCCTCCTCCTGCCCGGCGGGGGGGGGGCTCCCTCCTCCTCCTGCCCGGCGGGGGGGGATCCCTCCTCCTCCTGCCCGGTGGGGGGGGCTCCCTCCTCCTCCTGCCCGGCGGGGGGGGGGCTCCCTCCTCCTCCTGCCCGGCGGGGGGGGGCTCCCTCCTCCTCCTGCCCGGCGGGGGGGGCTCCCTCCTCCTCCTGCCCGGCGGGGGGGGGCTCCCTCCTCCTCCTGCCCGGCGGGCGGGGGCTCCCTCCTCCTCCTGCCCGGCGGGGGGGCTCCCTCCTCCCGCAGGATCGAAGCCCCCCCATCCGGAGGGGACGGGGTCGGAGGGCCCAGACCCGCAGGGCTGTTCAGGACATGACGGGGCGGCTTTGGCCCCGCCACGCCTTGGACGCAGGACCCCAGCCAGCGCTCCCTCGCTGGCGGGGCGGGGTACCCGTCACACCGGAAAGCTACTGCGGAAGTCGGCGGGCAAGCGCGACCTCACACCGGCGCGGAGACGCGGCGGACGGCCGCGGACGGCCGCGGACCCGCGCTTCCGCGTTGTTCGCGGGGGAGGTGAGCGGGACCAGCCCCGCCCCTTCCTGCAGGCCCCGCCCATACCTGGGCCGGGGGCGTGGCGTCGAGCCAGGGGCGGAGCTAACGAGGGCAGCCAATGGGCGCGGGCGTGGGGCGGGTATCGCTGGCCACAAGGCCACGGGTGCGCGGTGGGGTGGGGCGTGCGGGCCGCCGGCCAATGAGGCTGCGGGGCTGGGGCGCGGCGCGGCGCTAGGCAGCAGGTTGCGGCCGGCGCGGCGCGGGAGCGTCCTGGTCCGAGTGGCGGGCGAGCGTCCAGGTGAGCGTCGCGCCGTCCCCCGGCCTCCCGAGCGCGAGGCGCGGGGCCGGACGGCGGGACGCGTGGGAACCGCGCCGAACCTGAGCCGACCGCCGCGGAGCAGGGAAGTCGGGGTGCTGCGTGGTGGGGGAGTCCCGAGTGCCCGCGGCGGAGGGAGAGCGGGGACCAGCGCGTTGGCCGCAGGCCGGCGGCTGGGCCGGGGCGGGCAGCGTCCGCCCCTCCGGGCGTCTCCGAGCCCCGAGGCGGGGCCCCTCCCGCGGGGGTTGTTCCCGGGGCAGCCAGGGCGCCGTGTGGGCCCGCCGGTGCCCTCGGTGCCTGGGGACGGCCACCTGCGGTGCCGCCCGCGGGAGGGGCCGCGCCCTCGGGGCAGGTGACGAGGACAGGAAATCCTGGACCTGGTTAATGATTCCTTCATTCCTGGAGCGGGCTGGACACGGGAGGCCGCGGCTTCCAGGGGACACCACACTGAACCTGTTGCGGGGCCCGCCAAGGCCCTGACCCTCGGGTCTGTGCCCTCCCCACAGGACAGGTATGATCTTGGAGCTGGCCGCCATGGAGCTGAAAGTGTGGGTGGACGGCATCCAGCGGGTGGTCTGTGGGGTCTCAGAGCAGACCACCTGCCAGGAAGTGGTTATAGCACTAGCCCAAGCAATAGGTAAGTACCTTGGAGGCAGAGAGACCCAGTGGGTAGGGCAGGGGCCTAATGGTCGCTGACCCTCCCCCTTCAAGGAGGGGGAAACCGGGTCCTGATTGCTCTGGTTCTTCAAGTAAGGTAGACCGAGTCAAGGACACAGGCTGAACCTTTCTCTCCCCTACAGGCCAGACAGGCCGCTTCGTGCTCGTGCAGCGTCTCAGAGAGAAGGAACGGCAGCTGCTGCCACAGGAGTGTCCAGTAGGTGCCCAGGCCACCTGTGGACAGTTTGCCAGTGATGTCCAGTTTGTCCTAAGGCGGACAGGACCCAGCCTGTCTGGGAGACCCTCCTCGGACAGATGTCTGCCCCCGGAGCGATGCCCAGTTCGTGCCAGCCTCCCCCCAAAGCCAAGAGCAGGACCTGGCCGTGAGCCCCGGAAAGCACTGACCTTCAGTTTGGGATGTCCCAGGCTGGCTCCCAATCCCCTACCCCCTGAGCCTGCAACCCCATTAGCATCCACACCGGGCACCTTTGCAGACCTGCAGGACCTAGAGGTCAGAGTACAGAGGAATGCCGAGGAGCTGGGCCATGAGGCCTTCTGGGAACAGGAGCTTCGGAGAGAGCAAGCCCGGGAGCGAGAGGGCCAGGCTCGCTTGCAGGCCCTGAGTGCAGCTACTGCCGAGCATGCTGCCAGGCTCCAGGCCCTGGATGCGCAGGCTTGTGCCCTGGAGACTGAGCTTCGGTTGGCCACAAAGGCGCCTGGACCTCCCTCGGCTACAGCATCTGCTACAGAACGCCTGCTCCAGGACCTGGCAATCCAGGAGCGGCAGAGTGTGGAGGTGCAGGGTAGCCTGGCCCTGGTGAGCCGAGCTCTGGAGGCTGCTGAGCATGCCCTGCAGGTGAGCCCAGGAGACTCAGGCCCTGCTGCCTCCCTGTCCCATACACAGGCCAGCTTGGGGGTCTGGCAGAGGGTCAGACTAGCAAGCTTGCTCTGTGGGTTGTGGAGCTCCATGGTAGGCCCCTGAGAGTTCTATGTGCTCCCAGGCCCAGGCTCAGGAGCTTGAGGAGCTGAACCGGGAGCTCCGTCAGTGTAACCTGCAGCAATTCATCCAGCAGACAGGGGCTGCCCTACCACCGCACACACATCCGGACAGAGGCCCATCTGGCACAGAGGTTAGCGTGGTTCTGGGGAAAGGCAGAATGATGGGGGCCAGGCCCAGCTCCCAGCTGACCTGCTTTCCTCACAGGATCTTCTGCCTCCAGCCAGTGAAGAGGCCCTCCAAGGAACCCCCCAGAGTCATGTCCTAGTACCCAGCCTGAGTCCTGAGGGTATGTCTGCCAGCCCCCCACCTGTGGGATGGACCCTTCCCGGGCCGCAGCCTCCTCAGCTTGTGTCTTCCCCACAGCTTCCCACATATGGCAGAGCTCTTGGAGGTAGCAACTCTTGCCCAAGTGGGGCTGGCTGAAGATAGATGAGCCAGGATAGCTGGGATGAGTCGCCTGGACAGCAGGACAGCAGGCGTCTGTGGCCACAGAGGATTCCGTCCACGTGCAGTGAGAAGCACTAGTGTCCTGGGCTTCTGCTTCAGGAAGGTGGAGTGCCGCAAGCACAGCTCCCTAGCCCTTGCCAGTTGACAAGTCCCCTGGAGAGGCTTGGGCCAGCTCAGAACTCTCCTGCTCCCAGGGCCACTACTCCTTGCCAAGGAAGGGCAAGTATGGATACTACATTCACGCAGTGGTCATGTGCCTGTGGGCAGTGTCCTTCACTGTGTGCATGCCACCTCCCCTCCCCTACCCCAACACTTAAACAATAAACTACCCAAAGTGCCTTGAACGCGTCCCAAGACAGTGCTGTGCAGGTTCTGTGAGGCCCAGAACTTGAAGTCTACATAACGGCCATGGTGGAGTACTCTGGACGGGCCACTGGGATCTGGGAAGGGGGTGCTTCAGGAACCAGAGCTCCCTGGGATCCAAGCTGGGACTTCCCTAGTTGTTTTGCCCTGCGGGTCTCTGAGACCTTTGTCATCTCCAGACTTATGAAGGCCTGCCAGCTCAGCTCTGACCTGGGTTTTTGTCTGGACCCCACTCCCACCGGGCTTCCTGAATCTGTCTGGCCTGCACCCCATACAGCAGCAGGAACTAGGGATGACAGGACTACAAGTAAGACCTGCCCGGCAGGTTTGCTGAGAACTTGTGGAGGCTGGTTCCTGGATCCTGGGTCAGGTCCTGGGTTTCTGGGCTGGCCAGGCCCCGGGAGCCCTCCCGAGGTGGGTATGGGCCCTGAGTGGACAAGGTCTGTGCCTTTTCTCCTGTGGGAGTGCACAGCCCCTATTGGGATTCCAGCTTTGAAATTAGGGTAGGGCTGCTTCCTTAGCTTAGCCCAACCACTCCCAGCCCACGGCCTCTCCCAGCCCTGGCTTCAGGGGGGCGTAGCATGGTCCTAGCAGCTAGAGCTGTGGCTAGGCTTAAGATTTTTTTTTTTTTTTTTTTTGATAAGCACAGCCAGGGGAGCCCCCAGGCTCTGGGCACCCAAGGGTGGTAATGGACACAGGAAGCTGGAGATGGCCCCTCCTCCAAGGCCAGAGCCACCAGGAACCTACTGCTGTGGGGGCATGGAGAATGGGATGTTTACCCAGGTGGATGGAATGGGGAGAGGCTGGGGCCCAGCAGGCAAGGCCAAGCACGGGGGTCACAGAGTGCAGCCTAAAGTGCAAAGGCTACTAGGGCTGGGCACCTAGCTCCCCACCCACCACAGGAGGTGTCACACACTCTGGGCACCAACCTTAAGTCCCCTAAGCACATAGGCTAGAGGGCACAATGCCAGGTGGCGTCCAGAGACTACCTCACACCAGGATTCAGGCAGGGGAGGTCATATCTTTCCTGAGTTTTTATCCATCTTCCCTAGCCCAGACTAGAAGCAGGCAGAGCCAGCATGTACCAGGTGCTGTCCAGCCTGCGGTGTGGCATTGACTGGCCCTGAAGAAGCTGCAGAGCCCTGGTCATCTGTGATGGGGGAGGGGCAGAGCCCCTCAGCAGCTGTTCAAGGTGAACAGAATCCCACACCTGGAGGAGGTGCCAGCCTGCTTCAGCTCATGAACCCTTGGAGATGCTGAAAAGTTTAGTTTTGGGTTTGAAACTTTTATTTAGAGACAATGGTATGAGTTGTGCTGTGCGAAAGTAAGGAAAAGGGAGACGGCTCTCTACACACATCAGGTCTCAGAGCAGGACCTACCCTAGCTAGCAGGCCATCTCCCTGAGCAATGCCTGGAGGGACCCCAGCACCTTCCAGTGTGGGGAGGTCTCTGCCCCTCCCTTTGCCTCACCCAGCCAGGCTGTGCTGTGCGTGATGCTGGGGCCACTCTCGGCCTCGACCCCAGCAGTGAGAGCTGGGAGAGTCACCAAGGCCACACAGCCTCCCCCAGCCTGCATAGCCAGCTGGGCATGGCAGGCACCGCACTGATGACACGATGTGGCCAATCTGAACCCAGAAGGGCCTGGACCAAGTCCACAGACTTGGTCCCGCAGGCCCAGAGCTGCTCCGGACATGGCCCTCCTGCAGACTTTCAGCAGGGTAGCCTGAGAACACCCAGCAGAGAGGGCCCCTGGGAGGGACCTGGGACGACCCCACGAAGAGGCCCGTGGTCCTGCCTCCCGCGCTGAGGTTGAGCCGTCCACGTCCCTGGGTAGGAAGTCCCAGAAGTGGTCCTCGGAGGGGGTCCCGCGGTCCGGTCCTGTCGGCTGAAGATCACAAGACACAAGCCTGCCCAGGGCTTCCCGGGACACACGGGGAAGGGCATTCCCTCCAAAAGGGTCTCCGGCCCAATCTCAACCCCGACCCGCGTGGCGCGCCGGGAGCTCCCCCGCGTCCCCCCACCCCACCCCGCCCCGGGCCGGCCTCCCCGGACCCGGCGCCTGCACGCCCGCCCGCCGGCCTGACCCGGTCGGCCAGCGCCGGGTTCGTGCTGCCCAGGGGCAGATCAGCCGCTGTCACACGCACAGTGGGTCCGGAGCAACGCAGTGTGCGGTGGGCAGGGGCTGCCCTGCGCCCGGAGGCCGGCGCGGCGCGCGGGCGGCGGAGGGTCGCCCCGCTGCTCCTACTTAGGCAGGATCCCCCGCGACCCCCGGGAGAGGATGACCCCGGAGGCGCGACCCCGCCCTCCGGCTCGGTACCCCGCGTGCGTCACCTGCGACCCCGGCCCGGGGCCGTCGCTCGCTCTCAGACCAACTTCGGTGGACGCCTCGGCCCCCCTCGCGCCCCCGGCGGGCCCGGACCGGGCCCCACGTGCCCGCCCAATATGCAAATGTGATAGCTTCCAGCCAATGGGCCGCCGCGCGGGTCCCGCCCTGCGGCGCCTCGGCCAATGGGCGCGCGGCGGTGGGCGCAGCACGCCCCGCCCATCGCCGCGCGGCCCTCGGCAGGCGCGGCCGGCGCGTTCCTTTCTGCACGTCGGCTTGGGGAGGGGCGGCCACCTGCCGGGCGGGGCCTGCGGGGCGGCGGGGCGCGGGGCCCGCGGGGCGGCCCCTCCGCCGGGGGCCCGAGGCGGTCCCCCCCGCCGTCCGGCCCACCGCGTCGCCGCGCTCCGGGCGCTCCTCGCCCGGGCGGCACCCCGGGGAGTGGGCCGGGGATGGGGTCCGCGGAGAGGGGGCCGCCGAGCCCCGCCGGGCAGCGCCGCTGGCGGGGCCGTCCTGCCGTGCGCGGGGACAAGGCCCGCGTGCCCGCCGCCCCTGAAGACGCCTGCAGTCCCGACGGCTTAGGAGGCTGCAGTGGGGACCCAGCAGACCCTCACCTCCCGTCCCCCGCAGGAAGTCGGAAAGGAGGCGTGGCCCAAGTGGCAGAGCGCCAGCTTTGAGCAGAGCCAGCCCAGCAAGAGCAGGAGGCCCTGAGTTCAACGCCCCGTGCGTGCGTTACGTGTGTGTGCATGCGTGCGCCCGCTTCAGAGGCCAGCAGCCCGGGGACGCCTGCTCCCCGTGGTTGTCCTCTCTTCACTCCCTTCCCTTCCGTGGCCAAGGTGGACCCTGGAGTGAAACCGTGGATCTTCTGACCCTAAGCAGGCAGGAAGGTGCTTCTTCTTTTGCTTCCAAAACAGGAGTCCTTATGAGCTCTTTGTTCCCCCCGCCCAATCTCCCTCAAATCAACCAGTTCTTCACAATCCTGCCTCAGAGACTGTCTGACCTGGTGAACCTCCCCGCCTTGCTCCGGCACCTCCAAGAGGATCCTTTGCCCTCCCCAGTCCCCTGTCCATGGCTGCCCTCCTCCTCTCATTGGACCGTCCTTGTCTTCACTGCTTCCACAGAGTCCCACATCTTGTACAGTCTGGGTTAGCGCTTGTCAGCTGCCACAAACCTAGCCTGGGCAGTTGAGTGCTGGGGCTCCACAGGGGTGTCGGATCTAGACCTCAGTAGCATAGAGCTTTGGGACAGGCTCTAAGCACAGGGTTGTGCAATGCGGCTATCTATGGATGGAGCACCAAGAAGGCAGAAACCAGCTTAGTTCATTGGCAACCAGAAATTTAAGGGTATGATTGGGCTCCAATGCTCATATCTGTAATCCTGGATCCTTGAAAGGTAGAGATTGGGAAGAGTATGGACTATACACAAATGAATTGTAAAGATAATGACTGAGGTCTAGACCAACCTAAGGATAAACTCTAGATCCTATCTCGAAACTAAAGCAAAAAGAATTGGTAGTAGAGCACCTGCCTAGCAATGTAAGGCCTTTAATTCAACCCCTAGTGCCCCCAGAAAAGAAAGGAGGAATTGAAGGGTCAGCAAGACTTACATCATGTGGAGTTTTTGCTTTTTGTTTCTGTTTTTTGTGCCAGTCCTGGGGCTTGAACTCAGGGCCTGGGAGCCATCCCTGAGCTTCTTTCACTCAAGGCTAGCATTCTACCACTTGAGCCACAGTTCTGTTTCTGGTTCTTTGTTGTTGTTGGTGGTGGTGGTGGTAGTGGTGGTCATGGTCATGGGGCTTGAACGCTGGGCCTGGGCTCTGTCAGCTCTTCAGCTCAAGGCTAACACTCTACCACTTGAGCCACACCACCACTTCCAGCTTTTCCTGCTTATGTGGTGCTGAGGAATGGAACCCAGGGCTTCAGGCATGCAAGGCAAGCGCTCTACCACGGAGCCACCTTCCCAGCCCCCTCTGGCTCTTTTTAAATAGTTTTATTGGAGATAAGCTTCTCACAGACTTACCTCCCTGTGCTGGCTTCAAACCCCTTGGATCTCAGCTTTCTGAGTAGATAGGATTACAGGTGTGAGACATCTGCACCCAACTAAATCATGAGTTCTTGAGGGATTATATGTTTGTTTGTACCCATGCTCAAGTCTAGTCTTCTACCACTGGAGCAACTGCTCCACTTCAGGCTTAATTGGAGATAAGAGTCTCACAGACCTACCTGCACAGGCTAGTAAGATCTGTGATCCTCAGCTCTCAGCCTCCTGAGTAGCTAGGATTATAGGTGTGGATCATGTGTTCTTGAAGGAATCCCTTGGATCATTAGGATTCCTGAAGAGGGCCCTATCTTTTTTTTTTTTTTTTTTGGTCGGCCGTGGGGCTTGAACTCTGGGCCTGGGCGCTGTCCTTCAGCTCAAGGCGAGCGCTCTACCACTTGAGCTACAGCGCCACTTCCGGTTTTCTGGTGGTTTATTGGAGATAGGAGTCTCACGGTCTTTCCTCCCTGGGCTGGCTTTGAACTGCGATCCTCAGATCTCAGCCTCCTGAGTAGCTAGGATTACAGGCGTGAGCCACCAGCGCCCAGCTGAGAGGGCCCTATCTTTAAGATAGAGCACAGATTCAGAGGGAAGAGTCAGGGACTGGAGGATAGGAAGAAATTTAACCACAGGAACATGATTCCCACATGTTCCCCAATCCTGCCAATCCCCAAAGTACTTATATATTCATGCCCAGGCCCTATAAATGTAACTGTGACCTTATTTGGACAAAAGGGATTTTTTCAGAAAACTCAAGTGAAAGACCTTGAAATGGAATGATGCTCAATTACCTAGATGGACCCTGAATCCAATGACAGTATTCTTTATTTTCTGCACTGGTCCTCGGGCTTGACTTAGGCCTGGGCACTATCCCTGAGCTCTTTCACTTAAAACAAGTGCTCTACCACTTTGAGCCACACTTCCATTTCTGGTTTTCTGGTAATTAACTGGAGATAAGAACGCCACCCAAAGTGGGAGCAGGTGGCTCTCCTGTAATCCTAGCAACTCAGGAGCCTGAGATCTGATGATCACGGTTCAAAGCCAGCCCAGGCAGGAAAGTCCTTGAGACTCTTATCTCCAATAAACCACTCAGAAAACTGGAAGTGGCACTATGGTTCACGTGGTAGAGCAATCACTTTGAGCTGAAGAACTGAGGGACAGCGCCCAGGCTCAGAGTTCAAGCCCATGACTGACCAAAAAAAAAAAAAGAATGTCATAGATTTTCCTTCTCGGGCTGGCTTTGAACTGGGATCCTCAGATCTCAACCTCCTGAGTAGCTAGGATTACAGGTGTGAGCCACCAGCATCCAGCTTTATCCCTGGGCTTTTATGCTTAAGGCTTGTGCTCTACCAGTTGATTCACAACTCCCAGATTTTTTTTTTTTTTTTTTGGGTCCGGTCGTGGGGCCTGACCTCTGGGCCTGGGTTTGCCCTTAGCTCTTCAGCTCAAGGCTAGCGCTCTACCACTTGAGCCACAGTGCCACTTCCGTCTTCTTCGTTTTGCTTATGTGCTATTGAGGAATCGAACCCAGGGCCTCAGGCATGCAAGGCAAGCGCTCTACCACTGAGCCACCTTCCCAGCCCATCTCCCAGATTTTTTATTTTTGGTGATTAATTGTAGAAAGTCTCACAGACTTTCCTGCCCCGGCTGGCTTTGAACTGTGATCCTTAGCCTCCTGAGTAGCTAGGATTTTAAGTGTGAGCCACTGGCACCTGGCAGACATCTGTTGTTTTAAACCATCCAGTTTGTGGTCAAAAGACACTCAAGTATCTGCTTTCCTGGTCTCAGAAGGCAGTGCTGCCTGTCCCTCGACACCTCTGGGCGTTTCAATTCCCTTGTTCTCACCCCTTTCACTGCCCCTGCTTTAGGCTTCCTCGGGCATTTACTTGTTGAGACGGATGGAATGGGATAAAGGGCAACACCAGGGTTCAGGGCTCACCCAGCTGTATGAATTACAGGCATGATGGAGGAGGGTCCGGACCCTCTGGGAGAAGCTGGCTCAGGCTAGATAGAATTGAGAGAACTCTCAGCCTATCTTTGCCCTTCTGTGTAAGCCAGAATACATGCCATATCTTTGCTTGTAAGTGCCCATGTGAGGCACGAGTAGCATGAACCAGCACAAAGGAGGAAACCAGCAGAGACCTACCTCTGGGTAAACGTGTGAATCTACACTGGCAGTAACATGGGAGAGATGGCAGGAAGGTAACCAATGCATGCATGAGAACTGACAGTGGTAATGTGGGGTGTTGTAATGGGGGTGTCTGTGCCTGTCATTCACTCCATGTGAGCAGATAAGGAGAAAACTTTATATCAGTGGGTGAAGGGAGAGGGCATGAGTAGGTAAGAGGTATAGATACATGTTTGAGCCCAGTCTGGCCTTGCGCGGCTAGCTCCTTATGGATACTTCTCACACCTAAGCATGGGTTGGCAGGGTTAGGTCGTTTCTGTGCTCTGCTCAAATTTGCTCACTCAAAGTGTTCTATGTGGGCTGGGAAGGTGGCTCAGTGGTAGAGCGCTTGCTTTGCATGCCTGCGGCCCTGGGTTCGATTCCTCAGCACCACATAAGCAAAAAGAAAAAAGCCAGAAGTGGCGCTGTGGCTCAAGTGGTAGAGCGCTAGCCTTGAGCTGAAGAGCTGAGGGACAGCGCCCAGGCCCAGAGTTCAGGCCCCAGGACCGGACCCCAAAAAAAAAAATTTAAAAAAAGAAAGAAAGTGTTCTATGTCGTCGTGGGTGCACAAGTTTTTCCAGGGCAGCTGTGGAGATTCAGGGCCTTGCACACGCTACACAGCACTTCACCACCAGTCTCATTCTGTCATATCACCGTCTCCCATATCACATAGTTCAATTCTCCACAGGGTTCAAGTTATTTTGTTTTGTTTTGCGCCAGTACTGGAGCTCGAACTTAGGGCCTAGCGCTCTTGGCTTTTTCACTCATACAGGATACTCTACCACTTGAGCCACGTGACCTTTTGCTGTTTAACTGTAGATAAGAGCCACAGATTCATCTGCATGGGCTGACTTCCCACACTGCCCTCAGATCTCGGCCTCCTGGGTAGCTAACGGGATCACAGGTGTGGGCAGCTGGCACAGACTCCTATTCAAAGTTTACTCTGTCTCGCAAAGCTGGGGCCCAGGAGCCCGCACTTGAAGAGCCAGGTGCAACCTGAGAGCCCTGTGCATGCTTCAAAGGACAGACAGGAGGAAAGCTGCGGATGAAGACAGCCAGAGCCCACACCCAGCCCCACCTCGGGGCCAAGGGCGACCCAGCCAGACGGCAGGCTCGCGCACGAAGGGCGGGGCGGGGCCTGCGCGGGGCGGGGCCTGCGCGGGGCGGGGCCTGCGCGGGGCGGGGCCTGCGCGGGGCGGGGCCTGCGCGGGGCGGGGCCTGCGCGGGGCGGGGCCGGGCCTGCGCGGGGCGGGGCCTGTGCGGGGCGGGGCCTGCGCGGGGCGGGGGCGGGGCCCGGGGCAGAAGGCCGCTCCCATTCGCGCCAGGAGGGAGGCGGAGGGTGGGCTGTACCATCATCTGCGCCGGGGGAGCCCTAGGCCAGCACACTGGAGGACGGCCGAGCACGAATTCGTCCAGAACACTGACTTCTCTGGACAGAGCCCCTGCACTAACCAGCGTCTGCGAAGGGAGAAGGCGTTCTAGCGCCTCGGTGCTCCGTGAGAGGGATCTCCCCCCCGCCACGGCCCAGTGGTTTCGACCAACGGGCGGGGCGGAAGGTCCCTGAAGCTCACACGGTGCGCTTCCGGGTCGGGGTGCGCGCGCTGGCGGCGGCGGCGGCCGCAGCGGCGGTGGCGGCGGTCGGGCCTCATCGCGGTCTGGCTTTGGCGGCGGCAGGGACGTCCGGCCGCGCCCAGGAGGCGCCAGGTCCCCGGGTACGTACGGTGGCCGCGCCGGCCCCGGGCCCCCGCGCCCCCGGCCGCGCAGGCCCCTTCGGGCGCCGCTCGCTTTGTCTGCGGCCTCTGGGGCGAGCGAAGCCTGCGCCCTGCTGGCTGCGGGCCGGGACAGGCGGGCGCCCGCGGCCGCGCGCCCGGCCCCCGGGCCCGGCCCCTCAGGTGGCGGGGCGCCCGGCGCCGGGCCGGCGGGGCGCGGCGGGGCGTGTGGGGAAGGCCGGTCCCGGCGGCCCCGGCCGCGGGGGAGCCGAGGGGTCGAGCGGCCCTCAGCGCCGGCTCTCGGGAGTTAGCTCGTCGTCCCCGGGCTTCCCACAGATCAGGTCCCCGAGAGGTCGAGTCGCTGGCCTGGGTCACGCAGCCGCAGAGTGGAGCCGCGCTGGCGGCCGGGCCCCGCTCCGCGCGGTGAGCCGTGCGGGCCGCCGGCCCGGCCCCGCAGGGGACCTGCGCGCGCGTCTGCCCGCGGGAAGGGCACTTCGGGCCGCGGCGGCCGGGGCCGGCTGAGGCCGAGGTGGAACGCGGGACTTGGCGTTCCTGGACCAGGCCTCCTTCGGACGGAAAGGACGTTGGGCCAGCAGCAGCAAGAGGCCTTTCCGGGACTGTCCTGGCGGTGTTGAGAACGCCCTGCCTGGAGCCACCAGCCCGGCTTTACTCAGGAGGGCGGCGTTGTAGCCTGGTGCTCAGCCTAGCGGAGACTTTCGGAGGCTCCTAGTGTCCACTTCCTTTGCAGCGTTTCATACACGTCGTAATGGTACACGATCGCGAAGAACAAGCCCGAGCTGGGTTCTGGGGGTTCATGCCTGTAATCCAGACCACTCAGGAGGTGGAAATCTGAGGATTTCAGTTCCAAGCCATCCTGGCAGGAAGCCCCATGAGGCCCAGCAGAGTTAACCGATTAACCCGCACAAAGCTGGAAAGTAGAGATATGGCTCAAGTGGTTGATTGTCATCCTTGAGGAAAAAAGCCAAATGAGAGTGTACCAGTTCAAGCCTCAGGATGGCACCAAAGAAGAAAAAGTCAACCTGAATAGAGAAGTTTGACTTTGCTGCAGGCTTTGCCCACTGCCTTTTTTTTTTCTTTTTTTTTCTTTTTGTCAGACATGGGGCTTGAATTCTGGGCCTGAGCGCTGTCCCTCAGTTCTTCAGCTCAAGGCACACACTCTACCACTTGAGCCACAGCTCCACTTCCGGTTTTCTGGTAGTTTATTAGAGATAAGAGTTTCACAGACTTTCCTGCCTAGGCTGGCTTTGAACCAAGATCCTCAGATCTCAGCCTCCTTAGTAGCTAGAATTACAGGTGTGAGCCACCAGCGCCCAGCTTTGCCCAGTGCCTTTCATATGGTTTCCTCCCTGATTTCTCATGGCAGCCTTCTGAGGCAGGGCCTGACCCTTACTATGGCTCTCAGTGAAGAAAGAATCTAAGAGTTGCTTGTTCATATTTTGAACTTGGGAGTGTGAAATATGTTATTAGAGTGGGGATTTGCTCTTGTACATCAGACCTTAAACTACCCCATTTCTACCCTGATGTCATCTAGTGGTTTGGGGGCTAAATTTTCTGCTGTCTTTGAATTGTTTGCTGATTGGTTCATAAATGAGTATTCACCTTCCCCTCAGCTTTCTTCTGGACAGGGCAGACAGGGCAGGCATTGTAGCATGTGCCCTAGGATGATATGAGGTCACAGGTATGGGAAGGGTACAGGTGAGCAGAATTACAGATCTCTTGTCTCTAACAGTAGCCACTTTTAGGTTTGATCTTTGATCCTTGATAGCCGTGCGTCGTAAGGTCGTAAGGGTCCTAGTAGAAACAGGAGCCCCTGGCCAGGACTCCTCACTGCGAAACAGGGTATAGACTCTTCGTAAGGGGCTGTGGATACTTAGAACAGCAGATAGAGAAAAGGTTAATAATTTGTCAAAACCACTTCTCAGATGACAACTGGCCAGTGAAAGCTTTCTCAAATTAAATGCCCTTACTATGTAGAAAACTTGAGCTAGAACCTGGGGCTTTGTGGTGCCTCCTTACATGGGAGGTAGGGCAGTCCCTATCTTTGAGCTGGCCTTCACTCCTTCATGAAGGTTATTTGGTGGAGGGATTACCCCTCTCCAGCCTCTGCTGGGTGTGTGTGATCCTTATGGCTGAAGGACATAAGCAAGCCTGCATCTACAGGGTTCAGTAAATAGACCTGACCTTGAGCACTTCTCTTACCCCTGTGTGGTGCTTTCCCTCAACTATAGATAAGAGGCTTGGTGGAAATGCACATGGTGCCACAGGGTGGGTTTCACTCACTGTGCCTCTGTGAACTGGGGTAAGCAGCACTGAGGACTATGTGCGTGGATTGGTTCTCATTTGTGGACCAAAGTCTGAGGCTCTGGATAGGAGGAGGGTCATGTCCAGAAACAAGTCTAAGACGTTGTACACAAGTGTACCAGCTGTCTTTACAGGGCCTGCAGAGGGGCCCTGGTAGATATCCTACTGACAGGTGAAAATAATTTGTTTTTTCAGCCTCCCCATCTGGGTACCACAGAAATTCCAAGGCCCTAGGAGCCTCAGCTGATAGTAGTCAACTGAATGAAGGCCAGTGGACCAGCCTTGGCCAAGAGTGACCTCTTCAGGGAGTGCTATGCAGATAGACTGTTCTTCCCTAAGCCTCTGATGACCAGCTCTCAGTTGTGCAATGCTACTTTGCTCTGCTCAGAAGTCCATGTGATTCATTCTTGGTGTTGAGACTCTTTTTTTTTTTTTTTTTTTTTGGGGTCCGGTCGTAGGGCCTGAACTCTGGGCCTGGGCGCTGTCCCTCAGCTCTTCAGCTCAAGGCTAGCGCTCTACCACTTGAGCCACAACGCCACTTCCGGCTTTTTTCTTTTTGCTTATGTGGTGCTAAGGAATCGAACCTAGGGCCTCAGGCATACAAGGCAAGCACTCTACCACTGAGCCATCTTCCCAGCCCCGGTGTTGAGACTCTTGAAGGAGTTCTTGTACAAAAGCATCCCTGATCCTTAGGAACTGAGATCTACTTTGCACATAGGAATCTGTGTCTTTTTTTGATTTTGTGCATAAGTTATGGCTGAGTTTGCCCTATGTGTGTTGTGTCTTGCAGTCTGACCTCTTCATGTATGAATGTTCAGGGAAATAGAAGGAATGACTATTATTATTTTGTTACTGGTACTAGGGCTTGAACTCAAGGCCTTATACTCTTGCTTGTTTTTTTTTTTTTTTTTGCTCAAGGCTTACTTGATCCAGTCTTCCACTTCTGGCCTTTTCCTGGTAACCAGAGATAACAATCTCTCTCAAGCTGTGCACCAGTGGCTCACGCCTGTAATCTTAGCTACTCAGGAGGCTGAGATCTGAGGATCACGGTTCAAAGTCAGCCCAGGCAGAAAAGTCCATGAGACTTTTATCTCCAATAAACCACTAGAAAACTGGAACTCTGGCTCAAGCGGTAGAGCACTTGCCTTGAGCTGAAAAGCTTAGAGATAGCACCCAAGCCCAGAGTTCAAGCCATGACCTACCAAAAAAAAAAAAAGAGAATCTTTGATTTGTCTCCTCAGGTTCTCTTTGGACCTAGGTCCTCAGCTTTCTGAGTAGCTAAGATTATAGACATAAGTCATGGGCACCTGGCAAATGACTATTATTCTTTAAGAGAGGACTTTGGAACTAGTGCAGTTTGGAATTACCTAGCACTGGTCTCTTTCAGAGCTGAACTCCGATGTGTAGCAATGGATGACGAGAGCCTGGATGAACTTGTGGCCCAGAGCCCAGGACCGGGTGAATGCCAAGTAGGCCCCTTGGAATTGGCAAGTGACGCTGGTAAGCCACCTGCTGCTGGGGGAATCTCTGGAGGAGCAGTGGTGCCTGGTGTATTCTCCAGGTTGCTGACTGCCCTTGGGAGGTTGTATATGGGTTTTTAACTTCAGCCTTCACAAACACACACACACACTTTAGTTTTAAATTATAGAAATATGGTGCACTAATTTTTTCGTGTTCATTTTTTACACTGGGTATCATCTTGCCATTTTGCCTAGACTCGTTTATAGTCCCTGGGCTCCAGCAACTTTTACTGCAGCTTTCTTTTCTTTACTTTTTTTTTTTTTTTTGGTTGGCCATGGTGCTTGAGCTCAGCCTGGGCACTGTCCCTCAGCTTTTTAGCTCAAGACGAGTGCTCAGCCTCCTTAGTAGCTAGGATTACAGGCATGAGCTACCGGTGCCTGGCTTACCTCAGCATCCTAAGTAGCTGGGCCTTCTTATCTGTTTTGTTTTATGTAAAACATGGTCTTGTTATGTAGTCCAGGGTAGTCTTGAATTCTCAATCCTTCATGTCAGGCTCCTGAGTGCTGTAATTACAGGCCTGTGCCATGGTACTTGACACTTTTTGTCTGATTTTTAATGTGAGTCGCACAAATGTGGGTAGGAGGCCTCCCTTTGTTTTCACTGGCCTCACCAGTCCCACTCTCAGCCCAGGGAACCTGCAGACCTTTGAAATCCCCAGTACATTTGCAGAGCAAACCTGGTTCTCTGCTACTTTAGTTGTGACTCTGCCCTTGGGGCCTATACTTTTACAAAACCCCGATGCTCTAGAAGAAAGCAGTGATGAGCACAGTGGAGACTCTGAGGATGACACAGGCAGTGAGCATGAAGATGACACAGACGTGGAGGATGAAGAAGGGCTCTCTGAAGAGGAGGACCTGGGAGACAGATCAGGTAGATGCCTTGATTCTTCTCTTACTGTGAGCAGATAGCCTTTGTTTTTGTTTTGTTTTGTTTTGTTTTTGTCGGTCATGAGGGCCTGAACTCTGGGCCTGGGTGCTGTCCCTCAGCTCTTCAGCTCAAGGCTAGCGCTCTACCACTTGAGCCACAGCGCCACTTCCGGCTTTTTTCTGGATATGTGGTGCTGAGGAATCGAACCCAGGGCCTCATGCATGCAAGGCAAGCGCTCTAACACTGAGCCACCTTCCCAGCCCCCCTGCTATAGTCTTTAGCTTCCATGTTCAGTTTAATGACATGGTTTCATAGATGTCTCTTCTGGTAGGTGCGGAAAATGTGCAAGAACATCAAGAAGGGGCTGGGAAGGTGGCTCAGTGGTAGAATGCTTGCCTTGCATGCATGAGACCCTGGGTTCGATTCCTCAGAACCACATAAGCATAAAAGCCGGAAGTGGAACTGTGGCTCAGGTAGTAAAACATCAGCCTTGAGCACAAAATCTCGTGGACAGCACCGAGACCTGAGGTCAACCCCAGGGCTGGCACAAAGTAAAAAAGAGGAAAAAGAAGCATGAGCTCTGAGAGGACATGATCATCCTCCCGGTGCAAGGTGGTTCAGATACCTAGAAGGCTGTGTGGGCTGAGATTTCACCCAGCAGATAGGCTAGTTGGCAGGTCTGCCCTGTGGTTCGTTCTCTGCTGGTGCTTTCCAGAACTGGGCAAACTTCTTGTGTAGTTTTAAAGTCTGAGTACTAGCTGAGGTTTGTGCCCTTCACCTCTTTTAGGGAACAGTGCTCAAAAGGGCAGGTCTGCTCTAGGTAACTTCCCCATCCTTCACAGCCACTTCCGCCTATAGGCAGCCAGGGCCTCAGGTGGGCTGCCTTCTGTCTTAGTCTTCATGCCAGGAGCATACACTTTTTTTTTTTGTCGGTCATGGGGCTTGAACTCTGGGCTTTTTTTTTTTGTCGGTCATGGGGCTTGAACTCTGGGCCTCAGTGCTGTCCCTGCGCTCTTCAGCTCAAGGCGAGCGCTCTACCTCTTGAGCCACAGCTCCACTTCCGGTTTTCTAGTGGTTTATTGGCGATCTGAGTCTCATGGACTTTTCTGCCTGGGCTGGCTTTGAACCGTGATCCTCAGATCTCAGCCTCCTGAGTAGCTAGGATGACAGGCAGGAGCCACCGGCGCCCAGCTGGAGCATGCACTTTTGATGCATCTCTAGCACCTGTGTTTCATTCTTTCACTATGATTCTGTGGCTGTCAGTGTTAGAAAATTGGAAGCACCTACCTCCTGGACCTGCTGTTGGTTAGGCCCCAGCCCCAAACTTGAAAAATGGATCTGATAAAGCAAGCGGCCCATTAAGAAATCTGCCAAGCCGGGCGCCCGTGGCTCATGCCTGTAATCCTAGCTACTCAGGAAGCTGAGATCTGAGGATCACGGTTCAAAGCCAACCCGGGCAAGGAAAGTCCTGAGACTCATCTCCAATAAACCACTAGAAAACCGGAAGTGGCTCTGAGGCTCAAGCGGTAGAGCGCATGCCTTGAGCTGAAGAGCTGAGGGACAGCGCCCAAGCCCAGAGTTCAAACCCCACAACAGACCAAAAAAAAAAAGAAAGAAAAAGAAATTTGCCATTCAGGGGCTGATGTCCTAAAATAGGCACGCTTGGAGGCTCAACAGTTGTTCCATTCTTTGAGACCCATTCTGGCCCTGGAGTCCATGGCTTTAATTGGGCTCTGCCTCTGCCCTAAGTCTTGGGCTTGAGCAGCTGATGTGGCTGCTCAGTCACTATCCCTGTCCACTTGACTCAGAAACAGCTCTGGTTGGAATGGATTCAGGTTAGTAGCTGTGGCAACCATAGCTTGCAGGTCATGAGGACGAGACTCACCAGGCACAGGTGCACTGAGTACCTTCCAGGTAGATGGAGAATGTATCCCACAAGGACTTTCTTTTTTTTTTTGGTTGGATATGGGGCTTGAACTCTGGGCCTAGACACTATCCGTCAGCTCTTCAGCTCAAAGCTAGTGCTCTACCACTTGAGCCACAGTGCCACTTCTGGCTTTTTCTGTTTATGTGATGCTGAGGAATTGAACCCAGGGCCTCATTCATGCAAGGCAGGCACTCTACCACTGAGCCACCTTCCCAGCCCCCCACAAGGTACTGGGGCTTGAACTCAGGGCTTTGTGCTCTTGCTTAGCTTGTAAATTCAAGGCAGGCCCTTCACCACTTGAGCCAGACATCACTTCTAGTTTTTTGTTGGTTAATTGGAGATAAGAGTCCCTGGGATTTATCTGCACAGGCTGGATTCAAATCTTGATCCTTTAGATCTGTCTCCTGAGTAGTTAGGATTATAGGCCTGAGCCACCAGTACCCAGCCCACAAAGACTTATCTGAAAGCTCTTTTCCTGAGTAAATCTTGAGCCTGCTCCCAGCCAACACTCTTGCTCATGTAGCCAATCGTGTGTGTGTGTGTGTGTGTGTGTGTGTGTGTGTGTGTGTGTGTGTGTGTGTCTGTGTGTGTGTGTGTCTGTGTGTGTGTTGAACTCAGGGGAAGGCTGGCACTCTGCCACTTTGAGCCACAGCTTCACTTCCTGTTTTCTCATGGTTAATTGGAAGATTAGAGTCTCATGGACTTTCTTGCCCAGGGTGGCTTTGAACCACAATTCTCAGATCTCAGCCTCCTGAGTAGTTAGGATTAGAGGTGTGAGCCACCAGCGCCCAGCTCCCAACCCTTTCTTTCACTGAAATTGTAATGTTTTGATTTACCCAAGGTTCTGAGGATTCTGAAGATGATATACAAACGTTAGTGGCGGCAGCAGATGCTCGGGGGAAGCTGGAGCCCAGCGGTGCACTCAATTCTGACGATGATGCAGAAAGCTGCCCCATTTGCCTCAATGCATTCAGAGACCAGGCTCTGGGCACCCCAGAGACCTGCACCCACTACTTCTGCCTAGACTGTATTGTCGAATGGTCCAGGGTGAGTGGGTTTTGCTGGGATTCTGCTTTGGATGGCTCCCACTTAGAATTGCTATGCCTGGCTCTCTGATAGTAAAGAACTAAAGTCTGCACTTTTGAGAGCTGAGCCCTGGGCTTTCAGAACTGTTGTTGAGACTCGGCTTACTGTGATGGGGTGTGTCTGTGGTTGAGGGGTGCAAGAGAAGGGGACTACAGGTTTCCTGGGAGCTCAGACGTTGAAACGTTAAGTGATATAGGAGCAGAGCTTATGTGTGCTGCAGCCCCAGAGCATGTTGCTACCTGGGAGGATCTTACAGATCTGATGGTCAACACTTAGTCCTGACTGCCAGCATTGGAGAGGACAAGCAAGTAGCTGTTGACTGTCTTCCTTCCCTTCCTTTCCTCCCTCCCTTTTGTTCCAGTACTGGGGTTTCAACTGAAAAGATGTATGTTTTATTTTATACAGTGAACTTCAGTAAGTCCACTTGAAAGGTTCTTGGTAAAGATAACTAGAAAACATTTATAGTATTCTACCACTGAGTCACCTTCGCAACCCCCCAGAAAATGTTTAAAAAAGATTTTTGGGGGGGGGCAGTATAGTCGTGGAGATGGGAAGACAGGGATGGAAGGGGAAAAGGAGGAGACAACAATGCTTGATAAGAAATGTGCTTATTACCCTGCTCATGTAATTGAAACCCCTCTGTACGGTATTTTCACAATAAAAAACTTTAGGAAAAAAAGTTAAAAAAAAGTTTTTACTATACCTTTTCTTTCTTTCTTTTTTTTTTGGTCAGTTATGGAGCTTGAACTCTGGGCCTGGGCGCTGTCCCTCAACTGTTCAGCTCAAGACTAGCACTCTAGGACCTGAGCCATGCCCCACTTCTGGTTTTCTGGTGGTTAATTGGTGATAGGACTTTCCTGCCCTGGCTGGCTTTGAACTGCAATCCTCAGATCTTAGCCTCCTGAGGAGCTAGGATTACAGGTGTGAGCCACTGGCACCTGGCTTTTAGTATACATTTTAAAAAGCCAACACTTGATTTAGAGAAAAATTTTATTTTGAAGACAGTATTGACATGAAGGTGATTCTGTTGGGCTGTAATACAATTTTTATTTCTCACAGAATGCCAATTCCTGTCCAGTTGATCGAACCATATTTAAATGTATTTGTATACGAGCTGAGTTTGGTGGTAAAATCTTAAAGAAGGTAAGTATGCATGTTGCCCACCCCCTTCTTCCCTTACCTTATAGGAAAGAGCTTGCTTTTAAAACTCGGTTACAGGGGCTGGGAAGGTGGCTCAGTGGTAGAGTGCTTGCCTTGCTTGCATGAGGCCCTGGGTTCAATTCCTCAGGACCACATGAGCAAAAAGAAAAAAGCCAGAAGTGGCGCTGTGGCTCAAGTGGTAGAGCGCTAGCCTTGAGCTGAAGAGCTGAGGGATAGCGCTCAGGCCCAGAGTTCAGGACCCACGACCAGACCTCCCCCCCCCCCCCCCAAAAAAAAAAAAAAAAGTAAAAATAAAATAAATAAATAAAACTGGGTTACACCGGATGGGCGATTTCTCCACACATTTGCATTGAATTCCAATCAGTTTCATCCCCTGTCACATACCCTATCCCCCTCTGCCCAAATCGAGCAGCCCCAACAGGTTTCCTTGTTCTGTTTTCATAGTTAGAAGTAAGCATTTCCTTTCATCCTCCCCACCAGCACAGCCCTCTCTAAATAGGTTTTAGAAATGGACTTGTGCTTTTGTGGCCCTGAGCACAATGAAGCCCAAAGCTAGAATTGTCATCTGATAAGAAAGAGTCCTGGTCTTTCGCCCTCATCACCATCTCATCATAGTGTCTCTGGGCATGTGGCTGGAGAGGAAATGTGTGCAAGTTTAGGCCCACTCTAGGACCAGAATTCAGAAAGTACTGGGTTACTTATTGTGTAGAGCTGGAAGGAAGAAGGCATTTTCCTCTGCTCTTAATTCCCCTTTGCTAATTTGTTCTTCTAGTGTATGTTTGTTTTTTGCTGTACTGGACTAGAACTAGGGCCTTGCAAATGTTAGGAAAACATTACCATTGAGCTACATCCTCAGTCTTGGACTTTTGAGACAGGGTCTTGCTTTGTCACTCAGACTAGGCTTCATTCCATCATCCTGTCTCTACCTCTTGGTGTTTCTGGTATGTTCCATTATAGTGTGTGTGCGCGCGCGCGTGTGCGCGTGTGTGCATGCGCGTGTGCGCTCGTATCACTGGGCATTGAACCCAGGGTCTATGTGTGCTAGACAAGCATTGTACCATTGAGTCATACCCCAGATCCTCTTCCGTTGATGAGTAGCCCTGGGCAAGGCTGTAGGGATCTGTCTGAGATTCCTAAAAACTACAAGTTTGAGATATATATATAGATATATATATACATATCTATCTATCTATCTATCTATATATATATATATTTTTTTTTTGGTCCTGTCGTGGGGCCTGAACTCTGGGCCTGGGCGCTGTCCCTCAGATCCCCAGCTCAAGGCTAGCGCTCTACCACTTGAGTCACAGTGCCACTTCCAGCTTTTTTCTTATGTGATGCTGAGGAATTGAACCCAGGGCCTCATCCATGCAAGGCAAGCGCTCTACCACTGAGCCACCTTCCCAGCCCTTGATATATTTTTTTTAACACTGGGCCTGGGTGCTGTCCCTGAAGTCTTATGCTCAAGGCTAGCACTCTAGCACTTTGAGCCACCACTCCACTACCAGTTTTAGGGTAGTAAATTGGAGATGAGAGTCTCGGGGACTGTTCTGCTGTTCTGCCCTACCTGGCTTCAAACCAGAATCGTCATATTTCAGCCTCCTCAGTAGCTAGGATTAGAGGCATGAGTCATCAGCACCCAGCTTATTTATTTGTTTGTTGGTCCTGGGTCTTGAACTCTGGGCCTGGGCACTGCCCCTATCAAGGCTAGTGCTCTGCCACTTGAGCACAGGTCCTCTGGGCCAATAAAGCCTGAACAGATCTTAAAATTGTATTATGAACTGACACCTAGATTCTGGGGTCCATTAGGTATGTAACCAACAGATTTGTCATTAGATTCCAGTGGAAAACACCAGAGCCCAGGAGGAGGAAGAGGAAGACCCAACCTTCTGTGAAGTGTGTGGCAGGTGTGACCGTGAGGACCGGCTCCTGCTCTGTGATGGCTGTGATGCTGGGTAAGGGCGCGGGGCTCTGGTATATGCTGGAATGTGTTATCTGGGTTGTGTAGAGGGCAAGGGGTATCACCTGGGGCTCATAGGGGACTGAGCCCCACATAAAGTGACATCAGAGGCTTTCCTAGCTCTTGACATTGTACCTCTACATCTTCCAGAAAGCATTCTGAGGCTGCCCAGAGTTACACAGTACACTAAGACAAAGTGAAGGAAGGCCAGGGAACCACAGGGAGATTGGGCCTGGCCTAGCAGTGTGCATGCCGGCCTAGAGTTGTTGGGAATGAGATCCTGCAGCTACATCATCCTGGCCACAGTACAGATTCCTTGGGCTGGGAAGGTGGCTCAGTAGTAGAGCACTTGCCTTGCATGCATGAGGCCCTGGGTTCGATTCTTCAGCACCACATAAGCAAAAAGAAAAAAGCCGGAAGTGGCGCTGTGGCTCAAGTGGTAGAGCGCTAGCCTTGAGCTGAAGAGCTGAGGGACAGCACCCAGGCCCAGAATTCAGGCCCCACGACTGGACCCCCCCAAAAAAAAATCCTTTACCTTTATTTGAGAGGGGGAGGCCTGGGGCTTGCCTTCTAACCTATATCTATGAATAGTTGGGATTACAGGTATGTGCCATCTCACCAAACTTACTTGTTGAGAAGTCTCTATAACTTATCCACGTTGGTCTTGAACCATGATCCCCTCAGTCTCTGTGTCCTATGTAACTGAGACTGTAGGTCTGCTGCCATGCCTGGCACCCTTGACCATTATTAATTTTTTTTAATTTTATTTATTTATTTTTTTTGTCGGTCGTGGGGCTTGAACTCTGGGCCTGGGCGCTGTCCCTCAGCTCTTCAGCTCAAGGCGAGCGCTCTACCACTTGAGCTACAGCGCCACTTCCGGTTTTCTGGTGGTTTATTGGAGATAAGAGTCTCACAGTCTCTCCTGCCCGGGCTGGCTTTGAACCGAGATCCTCAGATCTCAGCCTCCTGAGTAGCTAGGATTACAGGCGTGAGCCACCAGCGCCCGGCTTTAATTTTATTTTTTTTTGTCAGTTGTAGGGTTTGAACTCTGGCTCCTTCCCTTGTATATTTGTGCCTAGCCGAGGTCTTCATCTTTATTGATGGTCCACATATATATGTATATGTATATATATATATTTTAATTAATTAATTTTTTTTGCCAATCCTAGGCACTGTCCTTGAGCTTCCTTTTGGTCGGTCGTGGGGCTTGAACTCTGGGCCTGAGCACTGTCAGTCCCTCAGCTCTTCAGTTCAAGGCGAGCGCTCTACCACTTGAGCTACAGCGCCACTTCCAGTTTTCTGGTGGTTTATTGGAGATAAGAGTTTCACGGACTTTCCTGCCCAGGCTGGCTTTGAACTGCGATCCTCAGATCTCAGCCTCCTGAGTAGCTAGGATTACAGGCATGAGCCACCAGTGCCCGGCCTGTCCTTGAGCTTTTTTTGCTCAAGGTTAGCACTCTACCACTTAAGCCACAGTGCTACTTGGGGCTTTTTCTTTTCTTTTTTTTTTTTTTTTGCTGGTCGTGGACCTGAACTCTGGGCCTAGGCGCTGTCCCTCAGCTCTTCAGCTCAAGGCTAGTGCTCTACCACTTGAGCCACAGCGCCACTTCCGGCTTTTTCTGTTTATGTGGTGCTGAGGAATCGAACCCAGGGCCTCAGGCATGCAAGGCAAGCGCTCTACCACTGAGCCACCTTCCCAGTCCACTTGGGGCTTTTTCTATGTGGTACTGTGGAACCGGACTCAGGGCTTCATGCATGCTAGGCAAGCGCTCTACCACTAAGCCACATTCCTAGTCCCGGAAACAAGTTTTAAAAAGACTGTAGTTAGGTGATGTTTCAGTTTAGCTTGGACCAAAAGACCTTTTCTTCTCTAGCTCAGGCACTCAGGCACTGACATTTGAAACTCCTGGGACCCCTGTGAGTGATGGTGGGAAGATGTGGAGTGAAGAGAAGGCTGGGCTGCTGTGTCACATTGCTGGGGATGGGCCTCACTAAAGGATGGGCGTCACAAGGACCTGGTACAGTTAGTTGCCTTATGACTTCAGTGCCAAGGCAGGAGTCTCACTATTAGCTTAGCAGTACCAGCTGAGACTCCGGGTGTGTGACCTGATCAGCATGCACACAGCAGCGGAAGGCCAGACTCCATAAAAATATCAAGCTTTCATTTCTTCAGACTGGAGGCTAGAAGGCCAAGCTTTGATGGAATTGATTTTTTTTTTTTTCTGGTCGGTTGTGGGGCTTGAAGTCAGGGCCTTGGTGCTGTCTCTGAGCTTTTCTGTTCAAAGCTAGTACTCTATCACTTTGAGCCACAGCTCCACTTCTGGTTTTCTGGTGGTTAATTAGAAGTGAGACTTTTCTGCCCGGGCTGGCTTTGAATTACAATCCTTAAATCTCAACCCCCTTGGGTAGCTAAACCAGTGCCAGCTGTGGAATTGATTTCTTTTTTTTTTGGGTCCGGACATGGGGCCTGAACTCTGGGCCTGGGTGCTGTCCCTCAGCTCTTCAGCTCAAGGCAAATGTTCTACCACTTGAGCTACAGCGCCACTTCCGGTTTCTGGTGGTTTATTGGAGATAGGAGTCTCACGGTCTCTCCTGCCTGGGCTGGCTTTGAACCGCGATCCTCAGATCTCAGCCTCCTGAGTAGCTAGGATTACAGGCGTGAGCCACCAGCGCCCAGCACTGGAATTGATTTCTGAGGAGGCCTTTCAACTATGTCTTCTTGGGTCTTTTCATTTGCATAGCTTCTGATGTTTCTTCCTCTTCTTATAAAGATGCTAGTCTTTTTTTTGTTGTTGTTGTTACTCATGGGGCCTGAACTCTGGGCCTGGGCGCTATCCCTCAGCTCTTCAGCTCAAGGCAAATGTTCTACCACTTGAGCCACAGTGCCACTTCCGGTTTTCCGGTGATTAATTGGAGATAAGAGTGTCCTGGACTTTCCTGCCTGGTTTGGCTTTGAACCTCAATCCTCAGGTCTCAGCCTCCTGAGCAGCTAGGTTTACAGATGTGAACCACTGGCGCCTGGCTTACCACACCCTTTCTAGCCACCTCTTCCAAGAACCTTTGTGTGCCCAGATGCCAGAGCTCACCAGGCCCTGTCTTTCTGAGCCTTTAAAGAGCCTCAGTTGCATAGGCATAACTGAAGCATAGACACCCATTTGGAAATATGCCAGAGAAACAACCAATGCTAAGACTTCAGTCCAGTTCTCCAGTCTCCTATTATTGGACAAGTTGGTCTGGGCACAGAAGATCAGTGCCTGACCTGCCTTGGGGAGGAAGTTAGGGCCAGCATACGTGGGGGCTGGCCACATGGGCAAGGGCCAGAGCGTATGCTCTGCCACATCACATAGGATGTTCAGTCTGTAACAAATGCACTGAAGGCCTCGGCATATCTGATTGTCAGCTGAGTCGCTGGGCTTCCTTGCTGGGATAGACACTCTCCCTCTTGTTCCCGTAGGTACCACATGGAGTGTTTGGATCCTCCCCTTCAAGAAGTGCCTGTGGATGAGTGGTTCTGTCCAGAGTGTGCTGCCCCTGGTGGTGTCCCTGCCAGTGGTAATGTGCTGCCTTACCCCAGAGTGCCCGAAGTCCCAGAGAAGGGCCTTGGGTCAGAGTCTGGTGTGGTAGGGAATGACCTTGGCTTCTGTTATGATGGGGCTTTGACTGGGAGCTAGAGGAACTTGACCTCTGGAGGCAGTCATGAGTCATCAGATTGGGACTTCTAGTCCGCAAGGTCTGGAGCATTTGACTTCTGCTCACACGACCCAGGCAGTCATCCTACATGAGTGATGCTGTGATACACAGGACGTGAGCCCCAGCAGCTCAGGGTTCTCTTTTCCTAAGATATAGTTCCTGTAAGCGAAGAAGAGGTCTCCCAGCTGCTGGCCGATGTGGTGCCCACCACTGGCAGATTGCGGCCTCATACAGGCAGGACCCGAGCCATTGCCAGGACGCGGCAGAGCGAGAGAGTGAGGGCCACTGTGAACCGGAACCGGATCTCCACTGCCAGTAGGGTGCAGGTAGGCGGCCAACACCAGGCCTGTTCTGACCAGAGAGGTCTCAGTGCTGTGAGTACTGGATTGAAGAGCTATCACTGTGCCATAGAAGTTCAGGTCTACAGAGCGCCTGTGTGCCACACCCAGCGTAGCCTGGTGAGCGGGCATGTGAGTACACCTTACGTGTGCCAGGTCAGCCTAGCAAGCTCTCCGAGCCAGAAGCTCGGGTTCTGACCCAGAGAACATGGTCCCTCCTGTAGCCCAGCGCCCCTGCACTGGCTCTCTGACCCACGGAGGGTGGTCCCTCTTGTGTCCAGGAGGTTGCAAGCTGGCTCTCACACTTTTAAGGCTTGCAAGTGAACCTTCCTCACAAACAAGTCCTGGTATTGAAGGTTCCATCTCCATCGCTGCTACTCTGTGGACTAGGGCACCTGGTAGTTCTTTTCTGAGGTTCCCGTGGGCAGCAGAGCGATACTATGGCCTGAGTGCCAAGTAGATTAGAGAGACTGCGGTCCTGTCTCCCCCACAGCATTCCCACCTGAGTCCTGGTGATACCCCTCTAGCTCCTCCCTCCCTCCCTGGGTCTGCTGCCTTCACCAAGGCCACATGGCTGGCTCCTGCTCCCATCTGCCTTCTTCCTCCACTTGGAACTCTTGATCGATGCCTAACCCTCACAGCCTATTCTTCCCCCTGACTCTCGTGAAGCTGAGGGAGGTGATACAGGCCTAAGGCTTCTGTGGGCCATACTCAGAGCTCTGAGCAGGTGTCTGTGGTGGCACTGTCCCCTTAACATGGTCCTTCTTGATGTTCCCTCCCCCACAAGAAATGAAGGGTAGTCTTCACTGCACTCACCCACTGACGCCTGCTGTTGCTTGTGTGCAGCACGTGCCCAGGTACCTCATGTCTTCTCTGCTGGATGAGACAATTGAGGCCGTCGCAACTGGTCTGAGCACTGCTGTGTACCAGCGCCCTCTGACGCCACGCACTTCTGTTAAACGGAAAAGGAAGACCGGTAAGCCTGGCACGGTGGATGCTCCTCCCACCGGCATTTCTGCCCTGGAGTCCAGGAATGTGGTCACCACCATTTTCTCCTCTGCAACTTTAGTTGCTCAGTCAAAAATACAGGCAGTTCTTCATATCTGTGTTTCTCATTCATAAACTCCTCCATCTGTGGATCCAAAATGTTTGGAGAAACAGTCCCATCTATGTTGAATACATACAGCCTTTGCTTTTGTCATTCCCTGAATAACATAGTATTTTGTATAGTATGTTAGGTATTACAAAGAAACTGTAGCTGATTTAAACTATGTGCAAGTACCGTATACTACTTTATAGAAGACTTGAGCATCAGTAGATTTTATGATTTTTGAGGTCCTGAACTTTTTTTTGTTGTTGGTTTTGGGGCCTGAATGCTGGGCCTGGGCACTGTCTCAGAGCTCTTTAGCTCAAAGTGAGCACTCTACCACTTCTAGCTTCTTCTGCTTATGTGGTGCTGAGGAATTGAACCCAGGGCCTCATGCACACAAGGCAAGCGCTCCACCACTGAGCCACCTTCCCATCCCATGACCTCCTTTCTGTAGGCCTGTCCTCTTTTCTTTTTGGTGCCAGTCCTGGGGCTTAGTTAGGATTTTTAACCTCAGAACAAACTTGTGGATACAAATATACTGGCCAGGGCTGGGAAGGTGGCTCAGTGGTAGAGTACTTGCCTTGCATGCATGAGGCCCTAGGTTCAATTCCTCAGCACCACATAAGTAAAAAGAAAAAAGCCGGAAGTGGCGCTGTGGCTCAAGTGGTAAAGCGCTAGCCTTGAGCTGAAGACCTGAGGGACAGCACCCAGGCCCAGAGTTCAGGCCCCACTACCGGACCCAAAAAAAACAAAACAAAACAAAAAACAAATACACTGGCCAAACCTTGAATGTTATACTCCTTTCTGACTTGCCTGGAATTCTACCTCTGCTGATTCCTGGAGATTAAATCTTCCAATACAAAAGTCTCCTAAAATGAAGGTTCACGCAGACCTCTTTTTTCTTTTTCTTTTTTTGCTCATGACTAGCACTCTACCACTTGAGCCACAGCTCCATTTATGTCTTTTTTGGTAGTTACAGTAATTGGAGATTAGAGTCTTAGGACTCTTTTGCCCTGGGCTGGCTTCAGACCGTGATCCTCAGATCTTGACCTCCGGCATAGCTAGGATTATAGGCATGAGGCACTAGCACCCGTCTGAGTGTGGGTTTCTTTTTTCTATTTTTTTTTTTTTTTTTTGGTTGTTCCTGGGGCTTGAACTCTGGGCCTGGGTGCTGTCCCTCAGCTCTTCAGCTCAAGGCGAGCGCTCTACCACTTGAGCTACAGCCCACTTCCGGTTTTCTGGTGGTTTATTCGAGATAGGAGTCTCATGGTCTTTCCTGCTCGGGCTGGCTTTGAACCGCCATCCTCAGATCAGCCTCCTGAGTAGCTAGGATTACAGGCGTGAGCCACCAGCGCCCGGCTCTTTTTTATTATTAAAAATTTTTCTTGTAAAGATGATGTACAGAGGGCTTCCATTTATATATGTCAAGCAATAAATACGTTTTCTTTTTAACAGTGTGCCACCCCCCTCCCTCATTCTCCCGGTTTTTCCCCCTCTTGATTTTCCTCTCCTCCCTCCCCCCATGTTTTAAATATATATTTTTGTTTTGTAATCATGTAAAAGCTTTTAAAGTCAGATCTTGGTTGGCATCAGTAACTCACTTCTGTAATCCTAGCTACTCAAGAGGCTGAAATTTAAGGATCAAGATTTGAAGCTAGGGGCTGGGAAGTTGGCTTAGTGGTAGAGTGCTTGCCTTGCATGCATAAGGCCCTGGGTTCAATTCCTCAGTATCACATAAGCAGAAAAAAGCCAGAAGTGGCGCTGTGGCTCAAGTGGTAGAGCGCTAAAAAAAAAAAAAAAAAAAAAAAAAGACTTGAATCTACTCTAGGCAGACACATCCAAGAGACTTTTTTTTTTCTTTTCTTTTCTTTTTTTTTTTTTTTATTGTTGGTCATGGGACCTGAACTCTAGACCTGGGCGCTGCCCCTCAGCTCTTCAACTCAAGGCTAGTGCTCTACAACTTGAGCCACAGCTCCACTTCCGGCTTTTTCTGCTTATGTGGTGCTGAGGAATCAAACCCAGGGCCTCATGCATGCAAGGCAAGCACTCTACCACTGAGCCATCTTCCCAGCTCCCAAAGAGACTTTTATCTCCACTTAACCAACTAAAGGAAGTGGGGACATAACTCAAGTAGCTAACCATGAGCAGAAAAAGCTGATAAATCAAGATTGTGAGGCCTTGAATTCAAGGCTCAGTACCAGCATACATAAAAGAAACAAGTCAAGTCTTCTCAGAACTACTCAGAAGTCAGATCCCATCCTTACTTGCCACTTGTTTCCCCCATCTCAAAATGTTTATGGTTTATTTCTCATTTAAAAGTCTAGGACACCGGGCGCTGGTGGCTCACACCTGTCATCCTAGCTACTCAGAAGGCTGAGACCTGAGGATCACAGTTCAAAGCCAGCCTGAGCAGGAAAGTCCATGAGACTCTTACCTCCAGTTAATTACCAGAAAACCAGAATTGACACTGTGGCTCAAAGGGGTAGAGCACTAGCCTTGAGCTAAAGAGCTGAGGGACAATGCCCAGGCCCAGAGTTCAAGATCCACAACCTACAAAAAAAGAAGTCCAGGCCATAGCTAGCAGTGGTAAAGCCTCTGCATCCCAAGCATAAGAGCTTGTCAAGCCCCAGCACTGCCCCCGAAAAGTCTAACCTGGCACTTGGAGTCTTGTAGTACCCCAATCTTTTACCTGCTCCCTGGGTTCTGTGCTTTCAGGGCCTTGCACATAGTGGAACATAAGAGTCTAACATTTTTTTAGGGAGACGGAAGAAGGTACTGGGAAGAAAGAAAACCCAGTCTAGATCATCAGTGAAAAGTAAGAATGGACGTGTAAGAGCCAAGAAACGCCAATACCACGTGAAAAAGAGAAAGGGGAAAAAGACAAAGGTAAGAACCTGCAGTGGTTTTCAGACGTGGTGGCTTAACTCCTATGGGTCTCGCCGCAGACAACATCAGAGTACTTCTCTCTGCAGCTACTCTGCAGTCCTGAGAACAGTCAGCTTCTCCTGGGGCAGAAGTCAAAAGCAGGATAGGGAATGCCTCCAGTCCCCTGAAGCCAGATACACTGAGGGGTGTGTACAGGATATACAGGGGTTGTAGGATAACCCCTGGGACCCGTTTGGGCAGAGAGAAGTCACATTCACGCGGTGTCTGCTTGGTCTGGGCAGCTGGCTCATGGTGTCTGGGATGGGAGCAGGTGGGTATGGACAGGAGGCAAGCCCTCTATGCAGAGGACTCTTGTTCACAAGCAGCCCAGAGCCCCAGCAGCCTGGGCCATAGCCATTAACTGGTGGAGATACTTTCCTGCCAGCTCTTGCCTAGTAGAAGGTAGAAGTAGGCAAAAGTGTGTGGTGTCTTTGCCCCACATACCTGGTTCACCTGCTGTCAGAGCTTGGGGGGATAGTGATGGCAGGGATATGCTCAGACCTTTGCCCATAGGTTGTACCCTCGTTGTTCGCTGGATAGCCTCATGCTGTCACTGGGCCCCTCCTAGCTATTGTCCTTACATAGATCCCTGGGCTGTCACAGAGCATATTTCTTACATAACACAAAGCTGAATCACAACCATTAGCCAAGTTTTTGCCACATCTTTTTCTGGATCTATATCATTTTTTAAAGTTATTTGTGTTTTTTCATTTGTTTCTGTCTGTCGTGAGACTTGAACGCAGGGCCTGGGTGCTGTCCCTGAGCTTTTTTGCTCAACGCTAGCACTCTACCTCTTTGAGACAGAGTCTCACGGACTTTCTTGCCCTGGCGAGCTTTGAACTGCACAGATCTCAGCCTCCTGAGTATATAGGATTATAGGCATGAGCCACCAGCACCCATTTTAGGTTTTTTTTTGTGGTGGTCATGGGGTCTGAACTAAGGGCCTAGGCGCTATCCCTGAATGCTTTTGCTCAAGGCTAGAGATCTATCACTTTGGGCACTACCTCCAGTTTTCTGGTGGAGATAAGAATCTCATGGATTTTTTTTGCCTGGGCTGGCTTTGAACCAGCATTCTCAAATCTCAGCTTCGTGAGTAGCTAGGATTATAAGCATGAGCCACCAGCACCAGGGTAGATTTTATTCTTTTTATTTGTTTATTTTTTGTAGCATTGAAGGTTGGGCTCAGGGCCTTGAACTTGCTAGAGAGGCCTTCTACCCTGGGTCATATCTTCACCTTGGTTGGTTATTGTTGTTGTTTTTGGTTCTAGTCCTGGGGCTTGAACTCAGGGCCTGTGTGTCAGGGCCTGGGTGCCGTTGCTGATCTTTTTTCTTTTCTTTTTTTCCAGTTCTGGGGCTGGTGAACTTAGGGCCTGGACACTGTCCCTGAGCTTCTTACTATTTTTTTTTTTTTTTGGGGGGGGGGGTCCGGTTGTGGGGCCTGAACTCTGAGCCTGGGCGCTGTCCCTCAGCTCTTCAGCTCAAGGCTAGTGCTCTACCACTTGAGCCACAGTGCCACGTCCAGCTTTTTTCTTTTTGCTTATGTGGTGCTGAGGAATCGAACCCAGGGCCTCAGGCTTGCAAGGCAAGGGCTCTACCACTGAGCCACCTTCCCAGCCCTCCCTGAGCTTCTTTTGCTCAAGGCTAGCACTCTATCACTTGAGCTACAATGCCACTTCTGGCTTTTTCTTTGTATGTGGTACTGAAGGAATTCTTGCATGCTAGGCAAGCACTCTGCCACCACTAAGCCACATTCCCAGCCCTCACGGATTTTGTTTAAGGATAGTACTCTACCACTTGGGCCACATCTCCACTTCTGGCCTTTTGGTAGTTGGAGATCAGTCTCCCTCAGTCCTTCTTTTTATTTTATTTTTTTGTCCTGTCCTGGAGCCTGGCCTCTGTCCTTGAGCTTTTTTTGTTCACTGTATCACTTGAGCTACAGCTCCACTTCTGGCTTTTCTTTTCTTTTTTTTTTGTCAGTTGTGGGGCCTGAACTCTGGGCCTGGGCGCTGTCCCTCAGTTCTTCAGCTCAAGGCTAGCGCTCTACCACTGGAGCCACAGCGCCACTTCCGGCTTTTTCTGCTTATGTGGTGCTGGGGAATCGAACCCAGGGCCTCATGCATGGGAGGCAGGCACTCTACCACTGAGCCGCCTTCCCAGCCCTCCCTGAGCTTCTTTTGCTCAAGGCAAGCGCTCTACCACCGAGCCACCTTCCCAGCCCTCCCTGAGCTTCTTTTGCTCAAGGCAAGCGCTCTACCACTGAGCCACCTTCCCAGCCCTCCCTGAGCTTCTTTTGCTCAAGGCAAGCGCTCTACCACCGAGCCGCCTTCCCAGCCCGACTTGTGGCTTTTTTTTGATAGTTCAGTAGAGATTGTCATAGACTTTTCTGCTTGGGCTGGCTTTAAGCCACGATCCTCAGCTCTCAGCCTCCCCAGTAGCTAGCATAATAGACATGAGCCACCACTTCCAACCTACGTGTCATTCTTGCTCATTAGTTATTCCTTTCTGTTGCTTCTGTTCAGAGTGACGTCACAGCTCGCGCTCGTATAGCACGGACGCTGGGTCTCCGCAGGCCTGTGCGTGGCACCTGCGTGCCATCAGTGTACAAGCCAGTAGACCCCTCGCTGGGGCTAATGCGAGCAGATATCGGAGCAGCTTCCCTGTCCCTGTTTGGAGACCCCTACGAGCTGGACCCCTTTGACAGGTGACTACACAGATGACTCTGACAGGGGCACCAGCTCCCGTCACCCTTGGACCTGGAGGGTGTGGGCCTGGCGTTCTCTAGATCTCTCTCAGATTTGTTTAACCCCTGCTGGCGCCGAGCTGGCGCCCCTCCCTTTGACATGTGCTCCTTCCCAGCAGTGAAGAGCCCTCCGCCGAGCCCCCTTCCCCTCTGAGTGTCAAGAGGAGGGCGCTGTCCCGCTCGGCCCTGCAGTCTCACCAGCCCGTGGCTAGGCCTGTCTCTATGGGACTTCCCAGGTATGTGGCACTCGGAGCGTGTGGGAGGGCCGAGCAGGGGCCATGGCCACATTGCTGGGCTCTCTCTGTGGTCGCCCCTTGGCTCTGGAATGTTTGAGGTCAGCACCATGCTGCATCAGGGCCTGAGAAGCCCCTGGCAGAAGAGGAATGGGGCCTCCGCCAAGGCAGGAGTCCTGGTGGTCCACACTCACCAACTCTAGAGACCACTTCCTGCCAGGCCGGGTGCCGATGGCACACGCCTGTCATCCTAGCTACTCAGGAGGCTGAGATCTGAGGATCTTGGTTCAAAGCCAGCCTGGGCAGGAAAGGCTATGAGACGCTTATCTCCAATGAGCCACCAGAAAACCAGAAGTGGTGCTGTGGCTCAAGTGGTAGAGCACTCGCCTTGAGCTGAGGGACAGCACCCAGGCCCAGAGTTCAAGCCCCACAACTAACCAAAAAGAAAAAAAGTTTTCCTGCCAGCTCTTGTCCTGGTAGTAAACAGGGGCAGGCATAAGTGTCAGAGCTGTGGAGGGGTTGGTCTCAGGAATCTCCCTGGGTCTGCCCATAGGAGACAGGTCCCTGCCGTGGCCCCAGAGCCTGGTGTGGAGGAAGCCCCGGTCCCTGACCTTCTGGGGAGCATCCTGTCTGGCCAGAGCCTTCTGATGATGAGCAGCGCTGATGTCATCATCCACCGGGACGGCTCTCTCAGTGCCAAGAGGGCAGGTAAGCACCTTGGGTTGTCACCCCTTCCTTTCAGCTCTGGGAGGGGAGACCCACTTTCTCCAGAGGCAGGCATGTCAGCCCAACTTCTCAGGCTCTGCTGTGAGTGTGAACCAGAGAGCTGAGGGCCGGGAGCCTACGGAGCTTAAACACAAGGCAGTTGTCACGTCAGAGCACTGTGGAGTGGAGCTCGGTGAGAGTGGCATGTCTGTGGTTCCTCACGACCCCACCCCCATGGCTGGCCCAGTGCAGCTGCAGAACACATCCTACCCCACAGTTGCACCTCTGCAAAGCAGCAGCAACAGAAGTAGCAGTGGGGTGAGGAGTAGGAGGGAACGGCAGGGGCACATCTGCAAGCAGACAGGACAGGAACGAGGTGAAATGATTGCCATCTGATCTTCTTGTTGTTCAGCTCCCGTGTCCCTTCAGCGCACCATTGTAGCTCCATCTGGAAGGGAGGACGCGGCGAGAGCCAGGGATGCTGATGCTGTGCAGCCTGGCACGCCACCGTCAGGGTGCGCAGCCGGCGGACTCACCACCAGTGGCCAGCCACAGAGCTCTGGCCTAAGCTGCTGGGGCAGGTCGGCCCTGCATCGCAGCCCTGCCCACACAGTGGGGGCACCTGTGAGGCCGGGCTCATCTGCAATCCCTGTGTCAGGCCACGCCCAGAAGCCACCAAACCAGAGTGGACCTAGACAGAGTGGCAAACTCTGCCTTAATGGCACCAGTGCACAGGTCTTGCCTCTTGTTTCTGCCTCGTCTAATATCTCTACCGGTCATTCGAACCCTCCATCTAGAAGCACAACCCTTGGACATACCCCAAAAGTAGTTCCCAGGAGAGCCAATATCTCAGAGCTGCCCAGGATACCAAAGATCCAAAGGGACAGCAGTGGCAGCAGACGGGACCCGGCCCGAGGTCAGAGCATCGAGATCCCCAGCACGTGCATCAGTCGCCTGACAGGTAGAGAGGGCCCAGGGCAGCCAGGGCGAAACAGGGCAGAGAGCAAGCCAAGCAGCAGGGCCCCCCAGGAGCCCAGTTCACAAATGGGCAGCTCCCGTTCCCACGGAAGCTTGGCCCCACTGGGGGCTTCAAGAGGGAAGGGCGTTGGGTCGACCTTCGAGAGCTTCCGGATCAATATCCCAGGAAACACCGCACACTGTAACCAGGTGTCTAGCCCTGGCTTCTGTAATACATTCCGGCCTGTGGACAGCAAGGTGCAGAAGAAGGAGAATCCTTCCCCTCTCTTCTCCATCAAAAAGACAAAGCAGCTCAAGAGTGAGATATACGACCCCTTTGACCCCACTGGCTCTGACTCAAGCCCTCGAAGCAGCAGCCCTGAGAGTCTTGGCCCCAGCCTCCTGCCATCTGAGATCACAAGGACCATCTCCATCCATAGCCCTAAGGCTCCCCCGTGCCAGGCTGTGCGCTGTGTCACCTCCTACAGGGTAGATAGCGTCTTCGGGAGTGAACCAGAGCCAGACCCGCCTGGAGAGTCCACATCTGGCACACTCAAGTTCCAGAGCGAGGGCCCTACCCAGGGGGCCTCTTACATGGAAAGAGAAGGGCTAGATGAGGATCCCACAGAGCGTCGGAGTCCAGCCCTGCGGACGCAGCGGTCCTCCCTGGCAGACCCCTGGGACGACGACGATGGAGTGTCCTGTGGCCCCTTCTTTGGCTCCGAGGAGCGGACGGTGACTTGTGTGACTGTCCTGGAACCAGATGCTACGCCCAGCCCCCCTGTGCGGCAGGTGACCACCCACAGGGTTGTGGAGCTGCGGGCCCCGTCGCGCTCCCCGTCCACTTGCAGTTCCCGAGGTGGGAAGAAGGCCAAGAGAAAGAGGTCGGCCAGGGAGCACCGGAGGATGCGCTCCAGTACCCGTTCTGGCTCCAGGGACAGGACTTCGCACTCAGCATCACCTGTGGCTGAGGAGCATGCCAGGAGGCACCGGGCCAAGGCCAAGGGCCGAAGATCTTCCAGTGACCGTGCCAGCAGCCAGGAGAAAGCAAAGAGGAAGAAGGCCAAGGACAGGGATAAAGAGTGGAGGCGGGGCTCTCGGGGCCGGAGCCGGAGGCAGTCCCAGTCCCGCTCTGTGAGCCCCAGCAGCTCCTCTGAGCGCAGGAGGAAGAGAAGGCGTCGCTCAGGGTCCAGGCCTCGTGGGAGGGAGTGCTCCCCTCCCAGCAGCCTCGAGAGGACCCGGAGGCACAAGCACCAGCAAGAGCGCAGCCGAGAGCGAGCCGATAAGAAGGAGAGCTCATCCCGGTCTCAAGAGAGGAGGCGGTGGAGATCGCCATCGCCCGGCTCGGAGCACAGGGCTCGGCAGCCTCGTCCGCACGAGAAGCCGCCTCGTTCCCCGGAGAGGAAGGACACTGGGAGGGAGGCTTCTCCCGCCCCCACTCCACAGCAGGATGGAGACCACCCGGAAATACTGCCGGCCGCAGCAGGAGTGGGTACCTTGCCAGAAGTGGTGCTGGCTGACCCGGACCCCTCTGCGGCGCCCCCTGCCCTGGAGGTGCCAGCCGAATGCCCACTGGAGGATGTGGATTATGGTGACTCTGTGGAGGCGGGCCACGTCTTTGAGGATTTTTCAAACGAAGCCATCTTTATCCAGCTTGATGACATGAGCTCACCACCTTCCCCTGAAAGCACCGACTCCTCCCCAGAGCGAGACCTTCCACCAAATCCTGCCCTGCCCCTGGCCAGCCAGCTGCATGATACCACCCTGGCAGCCATCCAGAGGGAGGTGTCCCTCATCCATGATGGCCTCTCACAGCCCACACCACCACCAGAGGGCCCCCCAGAACAGTGTCCACTCAGGCAGGGTGTGGCAGAGACGCTTGCCCCCACTCCCAGTGCCCTGGGTGTGGCCCCTGAGGTGAAGGAGGGTACCCCCTCACAGAATGAGGGGGCTTGTGAGGTGGTCAGGCCCGAGGACGCTGTGGCACAGGCCCCGCTTTTGCGGTCCAGAGCTCTGGTGAAGAGAGTCACCTGGAACCTACAAGAGGCAGAAGGCGGCGTCCCAGCCCCGGACAGAGCCCCACGTGAGTAGGCACTTGAAGAGGCGGGGGCGGGGGCATCACTGCAGTCTGTGGGGGAGGCAGACACCCCTAGAGCCTCTTGCTACCCCTGGCTCTTTTTTTTTTTGGTCGGTCATGGTGTCTGAACTCTGGGCCTGGGCGCTGTCCCTCAGCTCTTCAGCTCAAGGCTAGTGCTCTACCACTTGAGCCACAGCACCACTTCCAGCTTTTTTTTTCTTTTTGCTTATGTGGTGCTGAGGAATCGAACCCAGGGCCTCATGCATGCGAGGCAAGCGCTTTACCACTGAGCCACCTTCCCAGCCCTTCCCTGGCTCTCTGGGGCTTACACACACATGATCCAGTTCCTTGAAGATGGGCAGATCTATGGTTCAGCCTGTGATCACATTGCTGGATAGCTTGCACAAGAAGCAGGCCACAGGGTACCTACATCCTCTGTCTCTTGGGCCCTCAGGGACACTACTTCACAGACCTCAGGAAGGGACCTGGGATGCGGAGGACGGGGCCCCTGCGGGGGCTCAGCAGGTGCTGTTCTCCCAGCTGCCCCCTCCTAGCCACATGCTCCTGGAGACTGGGTTCCCTGACACAGACTCCTCTCAGGTGAGTGTGGGGCCATGTGCTGGGCCAGTGGGCCGTGCAGGCAGGGGTCCGGCCTGACAGATGGTCCTGCTCCCCTTTTGCCTGGCCCCTTCTGCTCTGGGAGTGGCTCAGGACTCAGTAGGAACATTCTTGTCCAGGTTTACAGCCCAAACATGCCTCCTGCTCCAGCAGCTCAGCCCGCAAGCATCCTGCCCTACCCACTGGTCAGCCCGCCCCCGGTCCAGTTTATCCTGCAGGGGAGTCTTCCTTTGGCAGGCTGTGGCCCAGTACAGGGCCTGGTCCCTGTACCCACCATGTTAGCCACAGCCTCAGAGCTGGCTGGTCAAGCCACAACGGCCAATAACTCAGAGGAGAGGACTGCCACTCCCAGGCCATCTGCAGAGAAGACCAAGAAGGAAGAGGTAAGCACTACCCCTTCCTGTGCGGGCTTCCGTCTTGTTTTGAAACCAGAGTCCTTGGGATGGGTTCGAGAATGGAATCTAGCACAGCAGCTTTGGTAGAGGACAGCGGATGCCGTCTCTAATGTTCCTGGGCTGAAGGAATTTCCCAGCACTGCAGGCCTCCAACCAAAGGGTCCCTGGGCCAAGTCCTGGCCGTTCTGCGTGGTGCCACACGTTCTCTCTTGCAGTACATGAAGAAGCTCCACATGCAGGAGCGAGCAGTGGAGGAGGTGAAGCTGGCCATCAAGCCCTTCTACCAGAAGAGGGAGGTGACCAAGGAGGAGTACAAGGACATCCTGCGCAAAGCCGTCCAGAAGGTGGGCTTGGACGGGTGCGCGCGCGGGGGGGGGGGGGGGGGGGGGGTGGGCTTGGACTCCGGACGCGCGTGCGCGGGGGTGGGCTTGGACGGGTGCGCGCGCGGGGGGGGGGGGGGTGGGCTTGGACTCCGGGCGCGTGTGCGCGGGGGTGGGCTTGGACGGGTGCGCGCGGGGGGGGGGGGGGGGGTGGGCTTGGACTCCAGGCGCGCGTGCGCGGGGGTGGGCTTGGACGGGCGCGCGGGGGGTGGGCTTGGACGGGCGCGCGGGGGGTGGGCTTGGACGGGCGCGCGGGGGTGGGCTTGGACGGGCGCGCGGGGGTGGGCTTGGACGGGTGCGCGCGCGGGGGTGGGCTTGGATGGGTCCGCGCGCGGGGGTGGGCTTGGACGGGCGCGCGGGGGTGGGCTTGGACGGGCGCGCGGGGGTGGGCTTGGACGGGCGCGCGGGGGTGGGCTTGGACGGGTGCGCGCGCGGGGGTGGGCTTGGATGGGTCCGCGCGCGGGGGTGGGCTTGGACGGGCGCGCGGGGGGTGGGCTTGGACGGGCGCGCGGGGGGTGGGCTTGGACGGGCGCGCGGGGGTGGGCTTGGACGGGGCGCGCGGGGGTGGGCTTGGACGGGCGCGCGGGGGGTGGGCTTGGACGGGCGCGCGGGGGGTGGGCTTGGACGGGCGCGCGGGGGTGGGCTTGGACGGGTGCGCGCGCGGGGGTGGGTTTGGACGGGTACGCGCACGGGGGTGGGCTTGGACGGGCGCGCGGGGGTGGGCTTGGGCGCGCGGCTGTCACTACACAGAAGGCGGGCGTGGACAGGCGAGCACGGCTGTGTTACGTCGAATGCCCAGACCAAAGCGGTGCTGTGGCTCAAGTGGTGGAGCACTAGCCTTGAGCACCTAGCCCCTGAGTTCAAGCCCCATGACTGGCAGAAAAACCTCAACAAAACCAGAAAGCCCAGTCCTGAATATGATAGGCTACTGCCATTTTTTTGTCTCACAGACTTTCGGGGCCTATAAATGAACGGTGGATCAGCTGACTGGGCCATGTTGACAATTGAAAGGGCAGATACCAGCCAGGCACTGGTGGCTCACACCTATAATCCTAGCTACTCAGGAGGCTGAGATCTGAGGATCGTGGTTCAAAGCCAGCCAGGGCAGAAAGGCTGTGAGACTCTTACTCTCCTGTGTAACCACCAGAAGATCAGAAATAGCCCTTTGGCTCAAGTGGTAGAGCCTAGCCTTGAAATTAAGAACTCAGGGATAGCATACAGGCCTAGAGGTCAAACCCCACAACCAACAACAACAAAAAAAAGGCAAATCCTAGGGATGTTTAAGATTGTCTAGTCTAGGGCTGGGAAGGTGGCTCAGTGGTAGAGTGCTTGTCTTGCATGCATGAGTCCCTGGGTTCGATTCCTCAGCACCACATAAGCAAAAAGAAAAAAGCTGGAAGTGGCACTGTGGCTCAATTGGTAGAGTGCTGGCCTTGAGCCGAAGAGCTGAGGGACAGCACCCAGGCCCAGAGTTCAGGCCCCACGACCGGCCCAAAAAATAAAAATAATAAAAATAATAAATTGCCTAGGCTACTCCTGGCCCTGAGAAACGAACAGGACTGTCTGTGGTGCTGAGTCTCCAGTTTCACAGGAAGGCCCTGCAACCCTGTAAGATGGCAAGCAAGCTGCCAGAGAATGTTTCCTAGAGATGGCAGACAGGTCTGCCACGGTCAGTGCCTGGTGTTCGAAGCCTCAGAGTAACTGTCTTCTTCCTGCAGATTTGCCACAGCAAGAGTGGGGAGATCAACCCCGTGAAGGTGGCCAACTTGGTGAAGGCATACGTGGACAAGTACAAGCACATGCGTAGGCACAAGAAGGCGGAGGCTGGGGAGGAAGTGCCTGCCCAGGCCGAAGCCTGAGGCCAGGAGCGCTGGGCAGGGCCCCTGGGGACACTGCTGTGTTCTGTGTCTTCAGTGGCAAAGGTCTGGGACCACCAGCACTCCTGCCGCCAGGCTTCCATGACGACACCTGTCTGCACCTGTCTTGCTCATGGTTGAAAACTGGACTTTTTTTATATGTATATTATAAATACAATGTTTCCATTGTGTTCTAATTTATCAAAAGTGACTTACCTTGAGAATCTTTTCTACCGACTAAGTATTGGGAAGTGAGCCATGGCTGGGCTCGGGCAGGAGGGAGCTCCTGCACAGGGGCTTAGCAGTCGTGTTTTTTGCACCTTGCACCTCTGGTGTGGCAGTGCCTTACCTTTTCCCATTGCTTTGTGCTCCTGTAGGTAGCCGTTTCCCAGGAGAAAGCTCCGCAGAGAGGCCTGCCTGCCACCCTCCCCCACACCCTGGGGAAGGGCCGCTTCCCCCCTTCCCCCCCATGCCTGCCTTCCAGAGCATTTGTAAGCAGCAGGGATTTGGTGGCTGCAAAGCTCACCATGAAGCAGGGTGTTTTGCAGGAGAGGCCCACAGTGTGCAGGTATGGGGTTCTGTGAGGGAGGTGGGGTGAGGTGTAATCCAGGCCCAGCCATATCAGTCAGCGCCGTTAGCCAGCCAGCTGCTCGGGGAGAAGCGTCCACCATGACAGCACTGGCTTGCTCTTTATTGAGGGGAGGTAGCGGCCGGCCTGGGCCCGCCGCTCCAAGTCAGGAGGAAGTGCTCCAGGTCGTCGTAGAGGCTGTTGGTGCTGGACAGGCACAGGCCCAGGCTGCTGCTGTCCAGCGAGGACGCGCCCTCCCGCTGCACACCTTCCACGTGCACGCGGCACAGCAGCGGCTCCAGCTGCAGGCCGGGGAGAGCCTCTGTCACTCCTGTCTGTGGCCAGGCCGCCCACCCCACCCACAGCGCCGGCCGGCCTCACCTTCACCAGGATCAGGCTCTTCTCCTTGGGCCTTCTGGCAGACAGGTCCTGCCCAAAGCCCAAGTAGATGGTATAGTGAGGGGAGCCCGGGCGCTGTCTCGCCCGGAACTCGCCCAGTTCTGCAAGAGGAGGCTCTGGTGAGCAAGTGGCCAGGGCACCGCCTGGGACAGCCCCCGGAGGGCACCTCACTGACCTCTGAAGAAGGTGCTGAAGTCAAAGATGGGCGTGTGGCAGTTGCGCTCCAGCAGCTGCGCTGGGGTGGAAGGGCTGGCAGAGCCCAGCGGGCTTCCCACCTCCCAGTACACCTTGCATTTGCCCATGCGCAAGGCCCACAGTTCCAGCCCCCGCAGCTCCAGCTGCAGGCCGGGGGCCACGTGCCGCAGCAGCTCCTCTGTGTAGCGCAGCTGCTTCTGGTCGGGGAGCTCAGCAGGGCTGGGGAAGAGGACCGGCTGGGCCTCGGTGGCCAGGGCAGCCGGGCCTGTGGGGTTGTACAGGAGCACGCAGCCGGGGTGCCCCACCACCGCCTGGAGCACGGTGCGGCCTTTGTACATGATGGTCACGTCCAGAGCTCCCGGGCCAGGCTCTGTGGAGGGACGGAGCTGTGAGCTCAGGCTGTGTGTGCCCTGGGTCACGCCAGGGAGGGAAGACCAGAGCAGGCCCTGTCCCCGAAGCTCTCACCCGTGGTCAGTGCTGGGTGCTGAGGTCTGGGGCTGGGGACGTCCTCCATGGTCCATGCGGCACTGGGCTCCTCAGGGTGCTCTGCGCCAGGAACCACAGAGGCGCTGCTTAGTGCTGACGGTAACGTGGTGTCCCAGCTTCCCTGCCCTGCTTTCTCCACATCTTGGTCAAGGGTCAGCCCTAGAGGGCTGGCCCTTCCCCAGGGGGCTCTGCCAGGCCCCTGCAGAGAGGAGCCTGGGGTCTCACCAGGAGCCTGGGGAAGGGCCAGGTTTCCTCCCAATGCAGCCTCCAGCAAGGGACCCCCCAGGAGACTCTGCTGCAGAACCCCAAGCAGCGGGAGGTCCCCTGCAGCACTCCCCATGGTGGCCAGAGGTCCTGGGGTGTGGGACTCAGCACCTCCTGTCAGGAATGGCCCTGGGACTCCCCCCTGCAAGGAAGAACAAGTCAGGCCAGCAGCTGCTCAGGCCCCACGCCTAGGGAGAGGCGGTGGGTCAGACTGTACCTGTGCTGGTGGGGCAGCTCTGAAGGCCTCTTCCTCCCCCGGGTGGACAGCTGGGATTTCGGAGGCTGGCGGGAGACCTGGCTGTGAATGAACAGCCCCCGGGGCTCTCCAGTTTCAGCACCCCGCCTCACCCCGAGTCACAGCCTAGCACTTGGGCCTGCCTGGGAAGGGGCCAGCCCAAAGCTGCACCAAGTCTTTACCAGGCCAGTTTCTAAAACTAAATCTGACATCCTGGAGAGCAGTGAGACGCAGTAGGTCCTCTGCTGTTGTTCCTGCCTCCCTGGCCCAGCCCTCAGCGCGCCTCACCTCTGTCCCCCGGCTCGGAACTGAGCATGTAGACTTTGTGGGGGTCAACCAGGTCCCCAGAGTTGTCCTGCAGCATCACGAAGCGTCGGGTGCTGCGCAGTGCGCAGCGGAAATTGGTTTTCCAGCCAGCACGCTCCGCAGCCTCAGCTTCCGGGGAGGGCTGGTCGCCTCCACTGCCGCTGGGTGGCCACCTGCCCCGGGCCACGGCCCAGGCCTGGTGAGGACAGAGGATGTGGGCTGGGGGAGGCCCGCCGTGCGCCCGGAAGAGGCTTGCGTGTGCAGGGCTGGGTCTCACCTTGAAGATGCGTGCGTCTGCCTCCCCCAGATCCTTGCGAGCGAAGTGCTTCCAGGGCACACGGAAAACCGTGTGGGTCTCGTCCAGCCACCGCAGCCCCTCATACCGGCCACTGCTGACCTCACTCAGGAGCCACTCCCCAAATAGCACCCGCTGGACAACCCTGCACGCAAGGCAGCCGCCCAGGCAGGCCTACAGTCAGGCCTGCAGCCAGGCGCACCCTCAGGGCAGTGGGGGAGGTGGCTCTCACCTGTCCTGAGCCGCAGCCATTGCTCCCTCTTGCGGGGACAGTCTGGAGGCCAGGGGGCCCTTGGCGTCAGAGACGTGGTCTCAGGACCCGTCCTGCAGTTGCCACGGCTGGTAGGGGGGAATTTGTGTAGCCAGGGATCACAGGTGTGACCCAAGATGTTGCTGTGCAGGATCACAGATGTGCACTGTACACTTGGAGCCACCTATGCTGCCTACTTATGCGTTTGTGGCCAAGGTGGCTGTCTGTGTGACTGCAGATGTGGCGGGTGCACACACGTGGAGTCACAGATGTTGATCCAGCGTCCAGGCCTGGACGGAGGTCGCAGGCAGGACCCTGCGGGAGACAGGCAGGAGAGGCAGTGGGGAGGGCGGGCCAAGGCTGGGAAAGTGAAACTGCAGCTCTGGAAACGAAACCTAAACTCCAGAGCTGCGGCGGGTGGGCAGCGCTTTCCCAGAGCCCAGGCCCAGGAGCTCAGGCCCCAGGCCGCGGCCACCTCCACCCGGCCCACCCGGCCAACCCAGGCCCCCCACCCCCACCCAGGCCTGCCCCAGCCCCGGGCTGCTGGTGGGGACCCTCTCCTAGGTCCCCCGCTCTCGGGCCCTCTGGCCCTTTGCTCTGCCCCGACAGCCAGATGGCCATCCATAGTAGGGACAAGGACCCCAGGCTCCTCGCCGCCTCACCTCCCCCACCCCCGCTCCACCTAAGCTGTAAGCTGGGGCCCCTACCTGGCACCGGGACCGCCGGGGCGGAAAGATTCCTCTCCCAGCAAAGGGTGCCTGAGCTCTTATAGTGGTGGGCGGGGCAGGCAGGACCCTGAGCCGCCCAGGCCCGCCCACTCCCGCCCTGCGGCCGGCCCGGCCCCGCCCTCTGGCCAGCCTGTCTCCAGCCTCATCCATCCCTGCCCCCTGCCCCCACCCGTCCCCCACGGCTCGCCCCATCTTGCCCCAGCTGCCCTGCCCCCATCCTGTCCCCCACCCTCCGGTCAGGTTGGTCCCCAGCGCTCAGCCACCCCTGCTCCGGCCCTGGCCGTCCCCAGCCCTCCCTCCGGCGGTCCCTCTCCACCCTGTCCTTCCCTGTCCCATCCCCAGAGGCCTGGACAGTGCCCAGGAGGGGCAAATCTGCTCCCCCCTGCTATTCTAAACCAGGTACATCCAAGGGGTCCTTTCCTCCTCCAGGAAGCACCAGGGGTTTGTCCCCGGTGTAGACAAGCTGATCCCAAACCTAGACCTTCCTCCCTGGCCCTGTAAAGGTAATGGGAGGGGCCGGAAGCAGGAAGCATTAACAACCTGCTTAGGTGGGAGCAGTCCCGCCCCAAATTAAAACTCGTGGGAAAATTTGTGGTGCCTTAACTTTAAGGAGATGCTGGTGACCCAAGGGGAGCAAGTCCAGCCTGGGCCCTGGAGGAAGCAAGCTGCTGGGAGAGCGGCAGCATTATATTACAGAGGCCCTCCTGCGCCCGCCCCGCAGGGCCCTGCACACAGGCTTCCCTGCCCAGGACACAGACTTCAGAAGGAGGCTGAGAACCAAGCGGCCCCTCCCCAGAAGGCTTCATGGCAGATGAGTCTCTGGGCTGGGTTGAGAAATAGAGATCCAAAGATGGCCAGAGGGGCTGGGAAGGTGGCATGCTTTGCATGCATAAGGCCCTAGGTTCGATTCCTCCGCACCACATAAGCAGGAAAAAAGTGGAAGTGGTAAGCCGGGCACTGGTGGCTCTTGCCTGTCATCCTAGCTCCTCAGAAGGCTGAGATCTGAGGATCATGGTTCAAAGCCAGCCTGGGCAGAAAAGACCATGAGACTCCTATCTCTAATAAACCACTAGAAAACCAGAAGTGGCGCTGTGGCTCAAGTGGTAGAGCGCTCGCCTTGAGCTGAAGAGCTGAGGGACAGAGCCCAGGCCCAGAGTTCAGGCCCATGACTGACCAACAACAACAAAAAAGTGGTAGAGGGCTCACCTCTCATGCATAAGGCCCTGGGTTCGATTCCTCAGCACCACATATACAGAGAAAGCCAGAAGTAGTGCTGTGGCTCAACTGATACAGCACCAGCCTTGAGCAAAAGAAGCTCAGGGACGGTGCCTAGGCCCTGAGTTCAAGCCCCAGGACTGGCAAGAAAAAGTCCAGAGATGGTCACATCAGTAAAGGAACTTCCTGGCAGCCAGCTGCCTGGGTTTATGGGAAGCTATTCAGACCCTCGGGGCTGGGGAGAGGGGACAGTGGCATGGGCCCTCAGTGGGAAGCAGGAGCAGCTGGAGGTGTTGGGATCCCGGCCCAGCGGGCCTGATGTCCTGGACTCAGGGCTCCAAAGCAGTTCTTTATTGTGCACCAGGAAGGACAGTAGACGGGGGCTCCGGGGTGGGGGGCCGGCTAGATGTAGGTGGAGTCGGGGCTGCCGGCGGGGGGGGTCCTGCGGCCGGCGTCCTCGTCGCTGCCCTCGTCTTCGCTGCCCGCGTTGCCGGGGCCATCTGCCTCTGCAGCGGGCGTGTTGAGGACCACCACATCCGCCTCGGCCCCGATGTCCTCCCCAAACCACACGGCCTTGTAGCCGCCCTCGGGCCGCCGCTCCTTGGTCAGGATGGATCTCACGGCCGCCGAGGGGCTATCTGCAGCCCCAGCGGGCGTGGGGGCCCCCGGGGCCAGGCCCAGGGGCTCCGGACTGGGCTGCCTGGGGGTCGGCAGCTCAGGGGTCTCCGGGTCGGGAGACGCAGGGGTCTTCTCCGGGGGTGTGGGCTGCGGCTCAGGGCTGGGGCTGGGTGCCCAGGCAGCCTCTTCCTCTTTGAGGAAGGCCTGGTTGTCAGAGCCCAGGGCCTGGGGCTCCTGGGGACATGGGAAGGACGTCAGCCAGCCAGCCCAGCTCCCACACCCTCCCTGCCGCCCGTCCCCTCCCCTCCCACCCTGTCCCGCGCGCCGTCTTCCCACTGTGGTGTCCTTCCCCTGCGAATCCAGCCCCCTGGTTGCCTGGCTAGCTCCCTGCCTCCCTCCTATCTTTGCTTCTCCACTCCCTCCCCTCCCCCCCAGCCTCTCTGCCTGTCCCTCTCCCAGCTTGCCCAGTCTCCACCCCCTCCAAGGGCCTCACCCCAGCTTTGCCAGAGCAACAGTGGAGCCGGTGACCATACTGCTTATGGAGGAGGATGACCAGGCCAATGAGGGCCAGCAGGAGCAGCGCGCCCAGCACCCCGCCCAGCACCGCCATGTCCACCGTGGAGAAGTGCTGGCCCGTGTCCGGCTGGCCCGCGCCCGGCTGGCTGTCACCCCCGGGGCCGCCTCCTGCCAAAGACATCATGGCCCCTTCCTTTGAAATGCCCTGGGCACCGCAAGACCCAGCCCAACCCGGGCTTCCTGCCCCAGGCTGAGGATCCACGGAGTGGGTGCTACTGACTCTGAAGGAGAGGCAGCAGGGTTACCAAGGCCAGGGCTCAGGGAGGTCAGGCCGCCGTGGGAGGGACCGTAGGGGCGGCAAGGAGGAGGGCATGCCATGCAGGGCAGCAGGGGGGGTACGGAGGAGGGCATGCCGTGCAGGGCGGGGGGGGCACGGAGGAGGGCATGCCGTGCAGGGCGGGGGGGGAGGGGGTACAGAGGAGGGCATGCCGTGCAGGGCGGGGGGGGAGGGGGTACAGAGGAGGGCATGCCGTGCAGGGCAGGGGGGGGAGGGGGCACGGAGGAGGGCATGCCGTGCAGGGCGGCGGGGGGCACGGAGGAGGGCATGCCGTGCAGGGCGGGGGGGGAGGGGGCACGGAGGAGGGCATGCCGTGCAGGGCAGGGGGGGCACGGAGGAGGGCATGCCGTGCAGGGCAGGGGGGGCACGGAGGAGGGCATGCCGTGCAGGGCGGGGGGGGGGCACGGAGGAGGGCATGCCGTGCAGGGCGGGGGGGGAGGGGGGTACAGAGGAGGGCATGCCGTGCAGGGCGGGGGGGGAGGGGGCACGGAGGAGGGCATGCCGTGCAGGGCAGGGGGGGCACGGAGGAGGGCATGGCGTGCAGGGCGGGGGGGCACGGAGGAGGGCATGGCGTGCAGGGCGGGGGGGGGCACGGAGGAGGGCATGCCGTGCAGGGCGGGGGGGGGCACGGAGGAGGGCATGCGGTGCAGGGCGGGGGGGGCACGGAGGAGGGCATGCCGTGCAGGGCGGGGGGGAGGGGTACGGAGGAGGGCATGCCGTGCAGGGCGGCGGGGGGGGCACGGAGGAGGGCATGCCGTGCAGGGTGGGGGGGCACGGAGGAGGGCATGCCGTGCAGGGCGGGGGGGGGCACGGAGGAGGGCATGCGGTGCAGGGCGGGGGGGGCACGGAGGAGGGCATGCGGTGCAGGGCGGGGGGGCACGGAGGAGGGCATGGCGTGCAGGGTGGGGGGTGCACGGAGGAGGGCATGCCGTGCAGGGCGGCGGGGGGCACGGAGGAGGGCATGCCGTGCAGGGCGGCGGGGGGGGGGCACGGAGGAGGGCATGCCATGCAGGGTGGGGGGTGCACGGAGGAGGGCATGCGGTGCAGGGCAGCAGCTTCCAATATGACCCATGGTCGAGTGCCCACCCAGTTAGACCTGAGGTGGGACTCTACATGGGCAGCATGTCCGGTCACCCCATTCAGAAATCGCACTTGGTGACCACTTCTCCAGGACAGCTGGCAGGCCAGGCCCTGCTGACCCCACACCCTGCAGGGCACTGCAGATACACGGGGGCAGTGCAAGGCGGTCTCCACCCGAGACCTGACCCCCGGACCTGTGCCTAGCGTTGGCTCCCGGTGGGAAGGAGTTTGGCTGACAGTGAAGGTGCCTGCCCGGGCTGCCCGTGGCCTCGGGGCAGAGAGGACCCCTGGGGGCCTGGAAGTGATGTAATTCATTCTCCAAGGACAGGGTCTCACTGTGTGGGCTCCTGCCTCGATCTCCCCAGCAGCTCCCTGCCGAAGCTCCCCACTGCTGGCCTCCCGAGCTCCGCGCCTACCCCGTGTCTCCACATCATCGGGAAGGCATTCCCTAGCTTAAAACTAACAGCTGTGCTGGGCGCCGGTGGAAAAAAAAAAAACCTAATGGTTTACCTAACTGGTAAAAGTGGGGCTGGCTGAATTTCAGATCTGGCCCCTGCCCAGCCCCTGAACGCGGAAAGGACCGCTGGGGTTTGGGGCCAGGCCACCCTTGCCGAGCCCTGTGAGTAACCAACCACTGGGTCCTGAGTCAGGAGGGGGCTCTAGCACCACCAAGGCGGGACTACCTGCGGCTGGGGGGCTCCTGCTGGGGCCGGGGCTCATCGTGGTCTGGGTGCTTCCTGGCTTCAGCGTCTGTGCTGAGCCCCCACCGGGCGTGGCTGAGGGGGGGGAGCTGCCCGCTCCCTCAGTGGGGGCTGTTGGCTGGGCGCTTTCTGGTGTGGGGGTCTGAGCTGAACCCCCACCAGGCGTGGCTGATGGGGGGGCTGTTGGCTGGGAGCCCCCACCGGGCGTGGCTGGGGGGGGGGAGCTGCCCGCTCCCTCAGTGGGGGGCAGCCCAGGTGTGGATGAGACAGGAGGCCTCAGGGTAGTACCTAAAGGTGGGTGAGGGCCAGAGCTGGTCAGCGGGCCCCCAGCGGGGCAGGAGGCAGGGCTGCGTGGGAGCTGCCTCGCCCGTCCCAGCGGAGACCCTCCCCTGCGTGGGGGACACCGAGGCCCACCTGTGGGGGGGGGCAGCGGGGGGCTCCTGCTCCGTCACGCGGATCTCGGCTGTGGCAGTTGCTGTGGCCACAGTCACGGTGTTGTTGGCCTCCACCTGGTGTGGAAGTGTGCTTGTACCTCTTGGACATCCCACCCCAGCCCCTCAGAATCATGTGATCCCTCCACACACACACACACACACCTCAGCGTAGAAGACGCTGGCATGCTGCAGGGCCCTGGTGGTCAGCACAATCTCCCCCTCCATCGTGAAGTCCGAAGAATTGGTGATTCGATACCTGATGGCTGAGTTGAGGTCCTAGGCAGGGCCGCCATGAGTCCCAGGCCCGGGGACCCCGCCTCCGCAGCGCCCACACGGAGGCCGGGCGGACCCCCACCCAACGGGGCGGACCCCCACCCAACGGGGGGGGGGGGCTGCCTACCGGGAACTCCGGGTCCTCAGCCCAGATCCTCAGGAACTGAGTGGGGGAGGCTGAGTCTCTGACGGTCGCATTTGCCCCCAAGCCAGCCTCCACGGTGCCCCTGAACACACTCTGGGGGAAGCGTGGGGAGCGGCCAGCGGTCCCCCGGGCCTCCAGGGTGGCCTTGGTTATGGAGTAGCGAGCCCCATCCGCCTGCTCAGCCTGGAGAGAAGGGACCAGGAGAGACGGCGGCTCAGGAGGGGCTGGGAGACCTGGCCACACCTGCCCTCCATCCTGCCCGCACCTACCTTGACCATCAAAACGAAGACGGTGGGGCTGGGGACGCTCTTGGCCATGGTGAGGTTGCCGGAGGTGTCGTCGATGGCGAACGTGTCCTCCTGGTTTCCTTAGGGCGTTTGTGGTGGAATTCAGCTGCCTCCTTCACCCAAGCCCAGGCTCCTCCTAGGTTGCCTCGGCCCCCGACAGGGACAGGGGCAGGCTGGGCTCCAGGGGACAGCTCGCCCGCACTCACCCCCAGCGATGCTGTAGATGATGCGCTGGTCGATGCCCCTGTCGCCGTCCACCGCGTAGATGGGCCCCGGGCGCAGGGTGAGGGGGGACGTCTGAGGGGATGGGACACCATGGAGCCGGGGCCGACAGCCCAGCTCTGCCCCACCTGTGACCCACGAGGAACGTGGCCACCTGGAGCACAGTCGGGGGAGGGGGAAGGGCAGGGTCCAGGCCAGGACGCCGGAGTCTGCATGGCCCACGTGCAGCTCATGGAGAAGGGGCTGGCTGGCAGCTCTGAGAGCCTGCCTGTCCTTCTGTCCTCACCGGGAGGCCCCCCTCCCTCCCCCCTCCCTCCCCTCCCCTGCTGGCACACAGCCCGCTGCTGCAGCCACACCCCTCAGCCCTTGTGAAGAAGAGCCACCCATTGGCCATGCACGCCTGCTTCAAACTCACAACCAAAACTGCCCGTAGCCCACCAGGAAAGCCTCAGCCCGAGCCAGATTTACCCCAGCTCGGGCCTGGAGCCTGAACTGAGGCTGCCCCTGAGTGGCCCATTACCGGCCTGTGGCCCACGGGGACCGAGCCGTGGTACTGGGCCTCCAGGCAGACGTAGCCATCCGAGTAAGTGCAGGGCAGGAACCAGGGGGGCCGGAGGTCCGCGGGCAGCACGTACAGGACCAGGGTGGCCGTGGCTGTGTGGCTGGGCTCTGTGCTCCCCACAGTGTCCTGTAAAGCCACACCCTCCACGTCAGGCCTCCCAGAAGCTTGAAAGGGACCCCAGGCATCCAGGCTTTGGGGTGGACATGACTTGCTCACCTGCACTATCAGCTGGAAGGTCATGTTCGGAGTCTTGAGGAAATCCAAGGGCTTGTCCAGCCTCAGGGAGGGGCGGTTCACCCCCTCCAGGGAGAAGAAGCTGCTGGCACCCTGTGGGGGAGGGAGGGGAGGGTACAGCGAGGAGCAGGGGGGGCAAGGGGGGACACAGGGGGAGGGGGGCAGGGGACACAGGGGGAGGGGGGCAGGGGGGGAGGGGGGCAAGGGGGCAGGGGGCAGGGGGGCAGCGGGGGCAGGGGGGGAGGGGGGCAAGGGGGCAGGGGGGCAGGGGGCACAAAGGGGGCAAGGGGGGCAAGGGGGGCAGGGGGGCAGGGGGGCAGGCGGAGCAGGGGCAAGTGTTGGGGGTGGGGCAGCACTGACCGGGGTCACCTCCAAGAGGCTGTAGAACAAGGTGTCATCTTTGTCTTTATCTGTGGCCTGCAGTTCTGCTTCCGGAATGACCACAGACTTCACCTTCGTGTCCTGGTTGTGAAGGGAGTGAGTGCTTTGCACATGCCCAGGGCCTGGGGGACCCAGCTGTGGTGGCGGGGCCTCCACCCGCGGCGGGGGGGAGGGGGGGGGGGCCTCCACCAGCGCCCCGCCCCGCCCCGCTAGCCCTGGCCCCCCGCCCAGGCAGCCCCGCCCCCCGCCAGCCCCGCCCCCGCCCAGGCAGCCCCGCCCCCGCCCCGCCAGCCCCGCCCCCGCCCAGGCAGCCCCGCCCCAACGTCCTGTCAGCCCCGCCCCTGCCCAGGCAGCCCCGCCCCCACGCCCAGGCAGCCCCGCCCCAACGTCCTGTCAGCCCCCGCCCCCACGCCAGCCAGCTCTGCCCCCACGCCCTGCCAGCCCCGCCCCCACGCCCTGCCAGCCCCGCCCCCACGCCCTGCCAGCCCCGCCCCCACGCCCTGCCAGCCCCGCCCCGCTCAGGGCTCACCTCAGTCACGTTCCACTGCTTGGTGATGAAGGGGAACTCTGGGGCGTTGTCATTGACGTCTTGCACCACCACTAGCACCCTGAAGTTTGTCACCTGTGGGGCATCGGCACACCGGGCACACCGCCTTGTCCCCTGCCCCCGCCTGGCTGGGGGCTGTTCTAACACCCATCAGTCACTCCATCCTGCCACTGGTACCTGTGAGCTCCTGTCCCAGCACGGACTCATAGACCTTAAGTAAGGCCTGACTTCGGGGCTGGGAAGGTGGCTCAGTGGTAGAGCGCTTGCCTTGCATGCCTGAGGCCCTGGGTTCAATTCCTCAGCACCACATAAGCAGAAAAAGCCAGAAGTGGCGCTGTGGCTCAAGTGGTAGAGGTAGTGGTAGAGCGCTAGCCTTGAGCTGAAGACAGCGCCCAGGCCCAGAGTTCAGGTCCCACGACTGGCCCCCCCTCCAAAAAAATAAAAAGAAAACAAAAAGTAGGTGGGCTGATCCTAGCTACTCAGAAGGCCGAAATCTGAGGGCTGAGGTTCCAAGCTAGCAGGGCAGGAAAATCCATGAGACTCTTGTCTCCAACCACGAGAAGTGGCGCTGTGGCTCAAAGTGGGATGAGCGCTAGCCTTGAGGAAAAAAGCTGAGGGACAGCGCCCAGGCCCTGAGTTAGCTGAGGGACAGCGCCCAGGCCCTGAGTTCTGGAAAGGACTGAGCAAGGCTTGGATTGCTTGGCTTACGGGGAAGAGATGATTGATGTGGACCAGGGACAGAAAGGGGAGGCCTGCAGGGCTGTGAGACGGGATGGGCGGGTGTGGGTGTGGGACAGTGGAGAGAGGGAGGGAAAGGGGTCGGGCAAGAACAGAGGCTGAGCTGGGCACTGGAGGCTCATGCCCGTCATCCTAGCTACTCAGGAGGCTGGTTCAAAGCCAGCCCGGGCAGGAAAGTCCGTGAGACCACTAGAAAACTGGAAGTTGCGCTGTTGAGCTGAAGAGTTCAAGTCCAACGACTGACAAAAAAAAAAAAAAAAGAACAGAGGCGGCCGCAGTGACTGGCAGGTGAAGAGGGTGAGGAACGGGTGTCTAGGAGTCTAGGGCGTCTGCTGGACAGATGGGTGCACCAGTCCTAGCTGGGGGCGGAGTGTGGGCTGAAGAAGTATGGCGATGGGCGTGGCCCGCAGAGGGCTGACATTTGGAAACACTGGAATGAGGTCACTGAGGGAAGCAGAGGGTGGGGGGGGGGGGGCGGGGGGCACTCACCACTGAGCTTCCCCTTTTGCATATTATGTGCGCCTCCAGTATCGGGGTTTCCTGGGAGGCAGATGGGTTTTGTGAGTCACCTGCCCCCAGGTACCCGTGGTAGATCCATGGACAGCAGGCTCCTGGAAGCCATGGACAGCAGGCTCCTGGAATGCCCCGCCCCTCAGGGCCAGCCTGGGCCCAAAGGGCTTTGCTGCCTGAGGGCAGCTGGGGGGCCAAAGGGCACAGAGGCCTTATTCCCTCACACAACGTACTTCTCCAGACAAAGGGGGCCCCCCGCCCCTGCTCAGCCAGCTTACCGCACCTCATAATCCAGAGTTGTGTTGAGAAACAGCTGGTTTCCTCGGATTTCAAATGCCAAGGGGGTGGACAAGTCACTCAGCTCCACATGCTGGCCCAGTGGGACAGTGATGTTCGCCAGGGGCCCAGTAATATTTGTGTTCTCCTCCAGCTGGAAGTAGGACTGGTTCACAGTGCAGACTGGAATGTGGGGGAGAAGAGGTGGATGCCACCCAGCCCCACCCCAGCCCCAGCCAGCTCGCCACCACCCCTCTCCAGCGCGTACCCTGCGTCTGGGCAGCCACCCCTGGGGCTCGGCCCAGCAGTGCTAAGAGCAGCGGCAGCAGGAGGGGAGGCCCCAGAAGAGCCAGGGCCCCCATCTTGGTGCCGGTCGCTGGCGGAAGGGCCCAGCCTCTCTGGCGTCTGTCGGTGGCTGGTGCAGGTCCTGCCTTGGTGACCTTCGCCCCTGCTGGGCACCTCCCGGATTTATGATTCTTTACAACCGGCCCTCTACCAAGGGGGACTCCGCAGGCCGGCACCAGCCAGAGTTGGACATTCAGGGCTCAGCCGGAAGAAAGAGCTGTTAGGGGCCAGGGAGGGAACTGGGAGGGCTTGGAGGCAGAACCGGGCAGGGTTAGCAGGGGCAGAGCTGGGCTGGGGCTGGAGGCTGAGGGTCAGGCAGGGGTTCCGGAAAGCTGGGCGGAGCTGAGAGCCAGAGCTGGGCAGGGCTGGGGAGATGAGGCAGAGCTGGGGCAGGGGCCTAGACTTTTGCCTTGGATTTGCTGTCCCTGTCTTAGGCAGCCTCTGGCTCTTCCCTAGAGGTCCTTTGGGGACAATTTTAAGGCTGTTTCTTGGGGTTCCCTTGGAGGCCCTCTGTGCCCTTGGTGCACAGGAAGTGTACCAGCAACCTGGGGTGCAGGCCAGGGCTATGATGAAGTACAGACAGGGGCCTTGGGCAGTGGCCGGAGCCCCAGAGCAGGCCAGGAACTGGTGAGGTCGCCGGCCCAGGCAGGACCTGCCCTGACCCAGTCTTTCTGGCCCTCAAGCCTCCTCCCTGTGTGAGCTGGGGAGAGCTGGCTGGGAGGGGTCAGTGGGCCCACGGGGCCTCTAAGCCGGCCTGTGTGTGCCCCTCTCTAAGGGGAATGAGCGAGCCAGCCCCCAACCCACATCACTGTCAGTCCTTCCCCTTCTCCCGGACACAGGCAGCCCCCTGCCGGCCGTCCTCCTGCGGCAGGTGAGCCCCAGCCCGCCCAGCCTCCCCTCTCCTGCCTGCGCACAGGTGCCTCTGGGTAGGAGCTGGAGACACCTCCTAACCCCGTGCACAAAGTTGGTGGCCCGGGGCCCAGGCCAGGGGGCCACTGAGGGACCCCTGAACCAGTGTCCGGCTGGCTGGCTGGCCTCCGGGTTTGAGGGACAGCCCGGCGGCCACGGTCCTTCCTTGGGGTGCACAGGGCCCCCCTCCACCCGACGGCCTCACTGCGCAGGGCCGCCCCGACTTTATGGGACGCTGGACTCGGAGGACCAGGGTCTGGATCTCTCTTTTATTGGTGTCAAGTACAATGCTCCCCCTTCCCGGGCATTCCTCTTCACTCCTCATCTGGGCTGCCTCCTCACTTCCGGCCACTCCGCAGCCATGCCCGGAGGCAGACCGGCAGACCAGGCCCTGCCTGGGACCGGCCTCCGGAGTGTCCTGCAGGGCGGAGCACAGGGCACTGGTCAGGCCTGGCCAGGGCAGCGCTGCCTGGGAGGGGAGGGGCCTAGCGGGGAGGGGCGTGGTCCGACGAGGGCGGGGCCAGGAGAGGGGCGGGGCCTGGCGGGAGGGTGGGGCCCCGCGGGGAGGGAGGGGCCTGGCGGGGGCGGGGCCCGGGGAGGGGAAGGGCAGAGCCGGCAGGGAGGGGCCTGGAGGGGGCGGGGCCCCGCGGGGAGAGGTCTGGCGGGGAGGGGCGGGGCCCGGAGGGCAGAGCCTGGCCCGGCGGGGCGGGGCCCTGCGGGGGAGAGGAGGGCGGGGCCCGGGGCGGGGCGCGCGGCTCACCAGGCCTGCAGGGCCGGCACGTCCGACCACCGCAGGCAGAGCCGGCCCTCCGCAGGCTGCGGCCAGACGGTACCGTTCTCCGCCTCCTGTTCGCTGCCCCACCCCAGGTCAGAATTAGTCGTGGCAGTGGGGTCCGCGCCGCGCCCGGCCCCGCGCCCGCCCGCGGCCTCACCTGCGCTTCCCCACCAGTCCCTGCAGCAGCCGCTGCAGCCTCGCGCTGTCCCGCAGGCGGCTGAGCTCGCTGGTGAACGTCCCGTCCGAGTGTCGCTGGGCCCTGCGGGGCGGCGGGACGCGCGGGGCGGAGCGCGGGGTATCACGGGGGGCGGGGGTCTCGCGGGGAGCGCGGGGTCTGGGGGAGCGCGGGGTCTCACGGGGAGCGCGGGGTCTCACGGGGAGCGCGGGGTCTGGGGGAGCGCGGGGTCTGGGGGAGCGCGGGGTCTCACGGGGAGCGCGGGGTCTCACGGGGAGCGCGGGGTCTGGGGGAGCGCGGGGTCTCACGGGGAGCGCGGGGTCTGGGGGAGCGCGGGGTCTGGGGGAGCGCGGGGTCTCACGGGGAGCGCGGGGTCTCACGGGGAGCGCGGGGTCTGGGGGAGCGCGGGGTATCACGGGGAGCGCGGGGTCTGGGGGAGCGCGGGGTCTGGGGGAGCGCGGGGTCTGGGGGAGCGCGGGGTATCACGGGGGGCGGGGGTCTCGCGGGGAGCGCGGGGTCTGGGGGAGCGCGGGGTCTCACGGGGAGCGCGGGGTCTCACGGGGAGCGCGGGGTCTCACGGGGAGCGCGGGGTCTGGGGGAGCGCGGGGTCTGGGGGAGCGCGGGGTCTCACGGGGAGCGCGGGGTCTCACGGGGAGCGCGGGGTCTGGGGGAGCGCGGGGTATCACGGGGAGCGCGGGGTCTCACGGGGAGCGCGGGGTCTGGGGGGGCGCGGGGTATCACGGGGAGCGCGGGGTCTGGGGGAGCGCGGGGTCTGGGGGAGCGCGGGGTCTGGGGGAGCGCGGGGTATCACGGGGAGCGCGGGGTCTGGGGGAGCGCGGGGTATCACGGGGGGCGGGGGTCTCGCGGGGAGCGCGGGGTCTGGGGGAGCGCGGGGTCTGGGGGAGCACGGGGTCTCACGGGGAGCGCGGGGTCTGGGGGAGCGCGGGGTATCACGGGGAGCGCGGGGTCTGGGGGAGCGCGGGGTCTCACGGGGAGCGCGGGGGTCTCACGGGGAGCGCGGGGTCTGGGGGAGCGCGGGGTCTCACGGGGAGCGCGGGGTCTGGGGGAGCGCGGGGGTCTCACGGGGAGCGCGGGGTCTGGGGGAGCGCGGGGTCTGGGGGAGCGCGGGGTCTGGAGGAGCGCGGGGTCTCACGGGGAGCGCGGGGTCTGGGGGAGCGCGGGGTCTGGGGGAGCGCGGGGTCTCACGGGGAGCGCGGGGTCTGGGGGAGCGCGGGGTCTCACGGGGAGCGCGGGGTCTGGGGGAGCGCGGGGTCTGGGGGAGCGCGGGGTCTGGGGGAGCGCGGGGTCTCACGGGGAGCGCGGGGTCTGGGGGAGCGCGGGGTCTGGGGGAGCGCGAGGTCTCACGGGGAGCGCGGGGTCTGGGGGAGCGCGGGGTCTCACGGGGAGCGCGGGGTCTGGGGGAGCGCGGGGTCTGGGGGAGCGCGGGGTCTGAGGGAGCGCGGGGTCTGGGGGGCGCGGGGTCTCACGGGGAGCGCGGGGTCTGGGGTAGCGCGGGGTCTCACGGGGAGCGCGGGGTCTGGGGGAGCGCGGGGTCTGGGGGAGCGCGGGGTCTGGGGGAGCGCGGGGTCTGGGGGGCGCGGGGTCTCACGGGGAGCGCGGGGTCTGGGGGAGCGCGGGGTCTCACGGGGAGCGCGGGGTCTGGGGGAGCGCGGGGTCTCACGGGGAGCGCGGGGTCTGGGGGAGCGCGGGGTCTGGGGGAGCGCGGGGGTCTCACGGGGAGCGCGGGGTCTGGGGGAGCGCGGGGTCTGGGGGAGCGCGGGGTCTGGGGGAGCGCGGGGTCTCACGGGGAGCGCGGGGTCTCACGGGGAGCGCGGGGTCTGGGGGAGCGCGGGGTCTCGCGGGGAGCGCGGGGTCTGGGGGAGCGCGGGGTCTGGGGGAGCGCGGGGTCTGGGGGAGCGCGGGGTCTCGCGGGGAGCGCGGGGTCTGGGGGAGCGCGGGGTCTGGGGGAGCGCGGGGGTCTCACGGGGAGCGCGGGGTCTGGGGGGGCGCGGGGTCTGGGGGAGCGCGGGGTCTGGGGGGGCGCGGGGTCTGGGGGAGCGCGGGGTCTGGGGGGAGCGCGGGGTCTGGGGGAGCGCGGGGGTCTCACGGGGAGCGCGGGGTCTGGGGGAGCGCGGGGTCTGGGGGGGCGCGGGGTCTCACGGGGAGCGCGGGGTCTGGGGGGCGCGGGGTCTCACGGGGAGCGCGGGGTCTGGGGGAGCGCGGGGTCTCACGGGGAGCGCGGGGTCTGGGGGAGCGCGGGGTCTGCGGGGGCGCGGGGTCTCACGGGGAGCGCGGGGTCTCTCGGGGAGCGCGGGAAGCGCGGGGTCTCGCGGGGTCTCGCGGGGAGCGCGGGGTCTCGTGGGGGCCGCGGGGAGTGCGGGGTCTCGCGGGGAGCGGAGGGTCTTATGGGGAGCGCGGGATCTCACGAGGAGCGCGGGGTCTTACGAGGAGCACGGGGGTCTTACGAGGAGCGCGGGGTCTGGGGGCAGCGCGGGGTCTCTGGGGAGCGCGGGGAGCGCGGGGTCTCGCGGGGAGCGCGGGGTCTCTGGGGAGCGCGGGAAGCGCGGGGTCTCGCGGGGAGCGCGGGGTCTCTGGGGAGCGCGGGGTCTCGCGGGGAGCGCGGGGTCTCTGGGGAGCGCGGGGAGCGCGGGGTCTCGCGGGGAGCGCGGGGTCTCTGGAGAGCGCGGGGTCTCTGGGGAGCGCGGGGAGCGCGGGGTCTCGCGGGGAGCGCGGGGTCTCTGGGGAGCGCGGGAAGCGCGGGGTCTCGCGGGGAGCGCGGGAAGCGCGGGGTCTCGCGGGGAGTGCGGGGTCTCGCGGGGAGCGCGGGGCGCGTGGGGAGCGCGGGTCTCACCTGGGCAGGGCGGGGAGCGCGGGGCGCGTGGGGAGCGCGGGTCTCACCTGGGCAGGGCGGGGAGCGCGGGGCGCGTGGGGAGCGCGGGTCTCACCTGGGCAGGGCGGGGAGCGCGGCCGAGTCCGCGAGCAGCAGCAGCAGCAGCAGCAGCAGCAGCGGTGGCGGCGGCCGTGGCGGCAGCGGGGCCATGGCGGGCGCGTGGAACGCAGAGCCCCGCGATGGAGCCCCGCGACGGAGCCCGCGCGCCCCTTTATAGCCCCGGCCGCGGGCTCCGGGCGCCGCCCTGGCTCCGCGCGGCCGGCCGCGCCCCATCGATCCCGGGAAGGTCGGGGCCGCCCCCCCAGCTGTCGTCCGGCCGCCTCCGGTCCCCACCGCCTGGCCGGCGCCCCTCGGGGCGGGGCGGGGCGGGGCGGGGCGGGGCGCGGGCTCCTCCGGCCTGGAAGCCCCCATCTCTGCCGCCAGAGCTGGCACTGCGGGGCGCGGGGATGGAACCGCGGCCCGGACGCTGGAGCTGTTCGCAGGCCTCGGGAAATGGGTGGGAAAGGCTTCCCAAAGATCCGGCCGGCCGCTCCCCTGGGCCGGGCTGGGTGGGCAGAGCTGGAGCCCTTCCTGAAGACAAACCCTCAGACTCGTCTTTACCTAACTGGCAAAAGTGCAGGCATCGCTTGCGGGGCGGAGCACGGAAGAAAAGCAAAGGAGAAGCAAAACGAGCCCTAGGTTCCCATCCCAGAACTGGCCACACATGCGCGCGCGCGCACACACACACACGCATGTACACGCGCACACACATGTGTGCATGCGCACACACAAGTGCACACACATGCTCACGCACGCACATGCACACACGCACACGTGCGCACATACGCGTGCACACATGCACTCGCACACATGCACACACACGCACGCGTACACACACAAGGGCACGCACACATGCACTCACGCACGCGTACATATAAGCACACAAGTGCACACACGTGCACACATGCACACACGCGTACACACACAAGTGCACGCATACATGCACACACGCGTGCACACATGCACACAGTGCACGCGCACTCACACTCATGCGCACGCACACGCGCACGCACTCACGCGCGCATACATGCACGTACGCACGCACACTCACGCGCGCACACAAGTGCACGTACACAACGCACACACATGCACACACGCACTTGCGCACACATGCATGCGCGTACACGCACACACACACAAACACACATACATGCGCATGCGTGCGCGCACACGCACAGTGCATGCACACACGTGCACACACTCGCGCGCGCACACGCACATGTGTGCGCACATACACAGACGCGCATACATGCACACACAGCATGCACAGACCAGGCATGGATGGTTCACACTTGTGAGCTACCCAGGAGGCTGAGATCAGAGGATCTCAGTGTGAAGCCAGCCTGGGTAGGAAGTTTGTGAGATTCTTAGCTCCTGTGAACCAACCATAAAAATCCAGAAGTGGCTCTGTGGTGCAAGCGCTCAAGCATTGACCCCAGGAAGAAACACACACGCGCACACAGAGTCCCAGCAGAGCAGGCATGGCTGATGCCTGCTTGCCAACACTGCCAGCCTGCTGCTATGGGTGCAGAGCCCAGAGCCCTGGCACAGCGCTGGGGCCCAGTGGCGGCCCAGGCCCTTTGTGGTGTTCCGGCCCTCCATGACTGGCCGGGCCCTCCGTGACCAGTGGGGCCCTCTGTGGTGGCCCAGGCCTTCTGTGACTGGCCGGGCCCTCCGTGACCAGTGGGGCCCTCTGTGGTGGCCCAGGCCCGTGACCGGCCCAGGCCCTCTGTGACTGGCCGGGCCCTCCGTGACCGGCGGGGCCCTCTGTGGTGGCCCAGGCCCTCTGTGACGGCCTGGGCCCTCTGTGGCCATGCACTGTCATCAGTTCTCCCCACACCTGGCCTTGCAGCCCCTCTCCAGGGGACCTGGCCAGAGAAGCTGGCCCAGGAACAGCCTCACAGGCTGAAAAATCTCACCCAAAATAGCTGGCTGATGGATGGCTTTCCAAGAACCTGCCGCCGGCAGGAGCAGGGATAAAGCTGATTAGAGACTAGCGATTAACCTGAGCAGGCCTCCCTTGATTAAACGGCCAGAGGCTGAGTCCTCAACACTGATAACATTGATTTCAACTCTCCTCCACAAGTGGGGCAGGCAAAGCTGTATTCTGGGGCCGGGGATTTTGCCCAACACTTCCCCAACGCTTGTTTTCTGTTTTTAAAATGTAGCAAGTAGTTTGGCATCTGTGGCTCACATCTGTAATCCTAGTCACTCTGGAGGCTGAGATCTGAGGCTCAATGTTCAAAGCCAGCCAGGGATGGAAACTCTGTGAGACTCTTTCTTTTCTTTTCTTTTCTTTTTGGTCTGTTGTGGAGCTTGAACTCTAGGCCTGAGCTTTTCAGCTCAAGGCTAGCGTTCTACCATTTGAGCCACACCAGTTTCTTGGTGGTTTATTGGAGATAAGAGTCCCACGGACTTTTCTTCACCCAGCCTTTTCTTTTTTCCTGCCCAGGCCCTGAATTCAAACCCCAAGATTGGCATAAAAAAATAAGTACAAAACTAAAATGTAACAACTTTCCCAGAGTGATACACTGAGTATCACATCACCTTGAACTGGTCTTCATTTCCTCAGGGATAATCAAGGTTTGTTGGCATTGGCTTATCAGAAACAGAAGTGTGGCTGGGTGCTGCGCCTTCCTGAGTCACGCCTGGCATGGTTTGCGGTGGTCTGAGCGGCCCCAGCGCCCCACCTGTGTTGGAGCAGCAGCTGGGGAGAGGTGACAGGTGGTTGATGGGCTGCCTGGAAGGACACGGAGGGACATGCTCCTGTGGGACTCTGGTCAGCTCCCCAAGGGTTGTTGCGGAGGGAAGCCAGCCCTGAGCTTTCTCAGGCTTCCACACAAGCTCTGGGTCTCTCACAAGCAGTCCTTTTTGCTGCCACCATGTTTAGATGCAGCTGAGGAAACCCTTGCCGGACAGAGCTGAAGCCCAGGGCCTCAAAAGTCACAACTGTGCACTATAGAGGAGACTCCTTCTCCACGTTCCCAGCCTCCACCATACAGTTACAGTAACAGCAGACTGACACGGCCTGGTGATGTAGAACATCTCAGCGGATCCTTCTCCACTGGTTGCATATTTTGAACGTGTTTTCCTCAAGCCTTGCTTCCACTGCTTGAGCCTCAACTCCACTTCAAGCTTTTGGCTGGCTAATTAGGGACAAGAGTCCCATGGATTTTCCTGTTTGGACTGACTTCTCACCTTAGTCCCCAGATCTCAGCCTCCTGAGTAGCTGGAATTACAGGTGTTTTTCAGCACTCTTTTTAAAATCAATCAACTGGAAGTGGCACTGTGGTTCAAAGTGGTAGAGCGCCAGCCTTGAGCAAAAGAGCTCAGGGACAGCGCCCAGGCCAAGTTCAAGCCCCATGACCAAAAAAAATATATATATTTTAAAAAAAATCAGAGCTGGGAAGGTGGCTCAGTGGTAGAGAGCTTGCCTTGCACGTATGAGACCCTAGGTTCGATTCCTCAGCACCACATAAGCAGAAAAGGCACTAAGTGGCGCTGTGGCTCAAGTGGTAGAGCGCTAGCTTTGAGCTGAAGAGCTGACGGACAGCATCCAGGCCCTGAGTTCAGGCCCCAGGACTGGCAAACATAAATAAATAAAAATAAAATCCATGCCTGTTCTATGTCTTGATGAGCATTTATCCAGTATTCCTGTGTCTCCATGGCTCCCGCCCTGTACTGAGGTTTGAACTCAGACTCTCAAAATTGCTCAGCTGGTGCTCTACCACCCAATTCATGCCTCCAGACTTTTTGCTGGTTACTTGGTGGTTCTAGATTGGGAGATGGACTCTGAAGACATTTCTGGCTGCACTGACTTTGAACGGTGTTCATCGGGATCACAGATGCCCAAGAGCGAGGAGCGCGGTATGAGCCCAGCCTTCTGCTTCGTAGGCTTCGTGACTAGTCCTTCTGTGAGCATTCCTACCCTGTCTTTGTTTCAGCAGCTGTTTCTGTTCTTTGGGGTGGAGACTGTACACCTGCTGAGTAAAGCACCTGGCTAACAGGTTAAACTTTCTAACACCTGGTCAATTGTTTCCCCAGTGGCTGTGCTGTTTTTACATTCAAGAATTTCAATTTTCCACATCCTTGCCATCCACTTTTTTTTTAAATTCCAGAACTGGGACTTGAACTGGACACTGTCCCTGCATTTTTTTTCACTCAAGTCTAGTGTTCTACCACTCGAGCCACAGCTCCACTTCTGGTTTCTTGGTGGTCCATTGGAGGTAACAGTTTCATGGACTTTTCTACCAAGGCTGACTTTGAACCGTGGTCCTCAGATCTCAGCCTCCTGAATAGCTATGATTACAAATGTGAACCACTGTTTCTGAGCTGTTTATCTAATTTTTTTCTTCCAGTGTTGAGTGTTCAACCCAGGGCCTTTGCAGTTAGACAGATTAGGCAAGCACGCTCCAATCCCGGGTGTCTTTTTTTTTTTTTTTTTTAATTGTAAAGGGAGCCAGATGCTGGTGGCTCATGCCTGGCTACTCAGGAAGCTGATCTGAGGCTTGCAGTTTAAAGCCAGCCTGGTCAGGGAAGTCCATGAGACTCTTATATACAATTAATCACACACACACACACACACACACACACACACACACACACACACAGCTAGAAGCACAGCTGTGGGTCAAGTGGCAGACCACTAGCCTCCAGATGAAAAAGCTCAGGGAAAGCACTCTGGCTATGAGTTCAAGCCCAGGACTGGAAAAAAAATTGTGAAAGGATATTAGATTCTTGTGAAATACTTTTTTAGCAGCGTTGAGTTTTTTTTTTTTTTTGTCGGTCGTGGGGCCTGAACTCTGGGCCTGGGCACTGTCCCTCAGCTCTTCAGCTCAAGCCGAGTGCTCTACCACTTGAGCTACAGCGCCACTTTCAGTGAAATACTTTTTTTGGGGGGGGAGTGGGGGCTTGAACTCTGGGCCTAGGCGCTGTCCCTCAGCTCTTCAGCTCTTCAGCTAGCACTCTACCACTTCAGTTTTTCTGGTGGTTTATTGGAGATAAGGGTTTCACGGTCTTCCCTGCCCGGCTGGCTTTGAACTATGATCCTCAGATCTCAGTCTCCTGAGTAGCTAGGATTACAGGCATGAGCCACTGGTGCCCAGCTTTGT